GAAGTCTTGAAGCTTAAAGGTATATGAGAATCATAATAGTTGCAAACAGCTTGGATGGGCTATTCATATTGAAATACTTTAGCACTTTTCTGCAATTGGAACTGCCCATCAAATTCATGTTGGAGACTTCATTGAGATTTTCAATTCATTTTTTTCCCTCGACTATGAAGATCTTTTGAGGTTAACGAGGTATTAATAAATAAAGCTGAGGAATTTGAAGAGGATATGAAGAATGTAAATGATACCAGGGCACGTCTATTTAACACTGTCAAACATAAGGATTATACTCTCCACCCAACAATGATTCACTGAAGAAGCATGTGGCCCTCAATCAGTTCTTGAGTTGGCAAACTGCAAAGAAAAATAGTCAAAATAATTTATGAAAGTGTGCCAAAATCAACTTAAATTGCACAGATTTTTGTTTTTGTATTGACTGCAGAAATCACAGTATACCTATAGAGGAAAAGTCGATTTTTGAGATAGTGGATTTCGAAAACAATTCAGAAGAAAGTGAATTAGATATTACAGTTGATTTAATAAGTATCATACATTTTTTTTTTTTCGGACATTTGTTAGTGTCGTAGTCCTGTTTCTAGAAATATTATTGCCTTTGTTCAAATACATAACCACATAAACTAAAAAAAGATTAATTGTAAATTGTAATATTTCTGTTCACTATGTTATGTACATATTGTACATTCATTTAATTTTCTTGACTTTTGCGGTAAATTTCTAAGTGAGAAATAACTGATTTATTTGTGTTTTCGTGCTCACGATGTTAATTTGTGACTTCATTGCTTAAAAATAAATACGTTTGATACTTGATAGCTTCTATAAAATGGATGTAGCTTTTTATGCTGTTCTTGTTGTAAACTGCTTGTGGTTATTACATAAAATTTATTCTCAAATGTGAATCAGCGTTGTTGGTGTCGCTGCTTTCGAGGTCACTCCCGACTCCTGTCACACAAAGTATTTTTTGTTGTTGGTTACATGTATGCCATATTTTTCGTAATCTACCTAATAAATTATGATTGACTGAGGAAGTCCGATTTTGGTCAGGCAAAACATTACAGGAATACATTTGTGTTAGTGTGCTGTAGGGCTCTCGAATTGTATAGTTCTTATGTATGCGTTGTAAACTTATGGTTATTGAATTTCCGGGAACCTCTTATATTCAATTTCGCACCAGGATTGTGGAACAAGCTGTAATGCGTTCATTATGTTCGTTTTCACACAAAACTGAAGAATTTATTTAGTTACCAGATGTGCGCTACGAAACTCATTTTCTGGGCGTTTTCATGGTTTCGTCTCACGGCCCATATCCGTGGTAAGGATCTACAAGTGTTTAATAATTTACTTATACATTTTTCAACAACGTCTTAGCATAACTTAACTAATAATAACTAAACAGGGCTATGGAAAGCCTGCCCAACTCAGCGCAAGGTCGAGCAGAAATAACTAATATTCATCCGCTCGCTAACAGCTGGTTTAATTCAATTGTTACGTCATGCAGAAGTCATTGTTCAGTGCCGAAAATGTGGAGAATATAGGACAGATCGTAGCACATATTTCTTGTAGTAAAAGCGTCTTTTCCGTAAAACGTGCAACTTTTGGAAGTGGGAACAAGGCAATATTTGTTACTAAATTTTTAAGGAACATTTTAAAATCATTTTCAGGTAGTTACCTGATGTGCGCTACGAAACTCACTTTCTAGGCGTTTTTCAGGGCCTCGGCTCGCGGCCTAAACGTTCAAGAGTTTGGGGGTTAAAGAATATGAGTAAGTACTGAATACAGCAAGTTTGCATTGCGAGTTGTATGAGACGTGATTATAATTTACAGTGGTTGGGTAATGTAACGCAGTTTCGAAACTCCAATCCGTGCGTTACAACTTACAAGTGTTTATGCGTGATATTGTCCATGGGTGCAAATGTACGTGGGAGTGGATGTTCGCGAGTGCAAATGTCCACAGTTGCAAATGTTGAATGGTGCGAACGGCCATGAGTTTAAAAGACAGGTGCAATCTATAACCGGTTACTGAAATCGGTGGGTGCAAATGTCCTGCGTGAGTTCACGGGTGAAAAATGTACTGTCACCACTGATCGAGATTGAACGCATAATCAGGTAAATTCAACTTTCCAGTATCAAGTCGAACTTCCATGGTTTTGTACAGAATAGAAATACATATTATCACTGAGATTGCAAGCTTATTGTCAAATATTTTTATGGTGATTAAAACAAATATTTTTATGGTGATTAAAACAAGACATTCGAATTGCATGTGTTGTGAATATTTCTCCAAAACGCAAAAGCCACAGGATCGTTTGCAAATATCAGAAATATTGACTAGTAGTTGTCATATTCGATTAATAAACAAAATCGCCAATGCATTTTTAGTTAGAGCTTCTGGACTGCAAGATACTTGGAATGAGTATTAAAACAGGTGTGGATCTAAGTCGTTACTATACAATACAAATGTACCTATGCATAAGATTAAAAAGAGCGACGTTCGTCTGACCATCAGGATAAGACCGAACCAGAAGAAGTGTGGAAGATGATAGTTTCGATAAAACAGCACTGTTTTTGGAAAAGTGAGTGCGTAGTTGGGCCTCTTGACACAAATCTGCTAATGCTCTGTCATATGCGGGCGCAAAGCGAACGGACTGCGGCGAATGCTTATTTCAGGGATTGCTTGACCCCTTTCTAGTGTAGGGCGATCATCTGTCAGTCACGGCCTCCACTATGATGCCCTGACAACAGAAAGAAGGAACTTTCAACTATTCCATCATATAAAATGAACTGGTTACCGAACAAAATACCGTAGTTCGCTACGTGACTGAACGTTGTTCGTCCCACCGTGCCCGAGGGTAAATATGAAAGATGATAGTCTAGTTCAGTGTTTCACAAACTTTTTTTGGCCACGGAACACTTGCGCCTTTTATCTCGTTGCGGAACACCAAGAATAAAAAGTTAAAATTGATAAAAAAAAAAAAAATGATGTAATGGTCCAAGGTTGAAGGGCCGAAAAAACTTTTTAGAAGGTCTCGCGGGCCGCAGACGGAGAGAACCCAAGTGTAATCAAAACATTTTATTCAAGTTTACTTACTTTATATATTTAACAATGAGAGTTTACCGTTTTGATCAGTTTTTAAGGAAACTCTATAAAGCCTTTAGTTATTCTAAAATTGCTTCCCGAGAAATATCGTGGTATTTTCGGTATCTTTTCTCTTGTTTGGTTTTGTAATATCGCTTTAAATTATATTCTTTCGTGACAGATATTATTTGAAACACACACCAGACACTGTGGTTTAACGTTGTTGTGGGTAAAGAAATGCGTTTACTCTCAGTTTACTTCGGTCATCTTTTTTCTACATTCATTGTACGATGGATATAATAATTGTAGTGAGAGCAGGTCTAGTGCTACCGCCAAAAAAACAACCAAGTCCGTCTAAGTTGGGACCTCGGACCCAGATAAAGAAGACTGGATTGCGCGGCGCTAAGTCAGCTCTGCAGACAGCTAACTGCTGTCACATGGGCAACACATGGAAAATAAAGGAGTGTTTTGAATAAAATAAGGCGCAAATCGTCTCTTCAAATGAGGAGTTACCTGACGCGAGCTCATCTGATCGGATTGGTCCTGTCTGCACAAGACAATTTATTACCTTCTTACCGATCACAGGACGTCATTTGCTCATTTTCATATAGCTACCGTCTTGACGTTTATAGATACAATAATAAAATTTCGTGATTTTAACAAACATCAATCCCGACATCAGGATTGGGAAAAGAACTATTCTCAGTTGGAATAGTTTAAATATAGATCAAATTTTTTCTGCTAATAACAGGACGTCATTTGCTCATCTCCATATAGCTACCGTCTTGACGTTTATAGATATAACAATAAAAATTTCGTGATTTCAACAAACATCAATCCCGACATCAGGGTTGGGAAAAGAACTATTCCCAGTTGGAATAGTTTAAATATAAATCAATTTTTTTCTGCTAATAAACACAAATATCTGCCAATGATTTAGTAGTGTACGCTATTTTGCGGGCCGCAGTTCGGACCACCCTGATGTAATGCAATGGTTCCCAAAGGGTGCACCGCGGCGCAGTAGTGCGACGCGGCGAGAAGCCAAATGCGGCGCGAAAACTAACAGAATTGTGTTAAACTTAACTAAAATATAGTTTAATATTTTACATATTGTATTTATCATAAATGTTTCATTGTTTCTTATTTTAAATGCTGTGTATATGAATCAATATATTCATTTTGCTTCTCTAAGTCGTTTACTTTCTATTACGTAGTGTTTTCCACTAATGTTACGTAGCAACGGGGATAGAAGTACTTGCTGCAATTTTGCGAGCAGAGGTCCATTTAATTGCTGAATAAGATATTTATTTCAGTCGTGCATAAAATATTGTACAGATAAACAGTAAAAATAAATCAATTGAAAGAAAAGACGTACAATAATTGAGTTTATCGAACATGAGTGATTTTTCAGCATTTCAAAGTTAAATCAGGCAGAGATGGAAAAAGAAGGTTAACGAAAATGCCGCTACCCTCCTAAAGTAGTCCGCTTTGGACCGACGGTGACGCAATGTTGAACGGTCGCCAGTTGGGCGACATATTCACGATCCCGAGATCGCCATGGCGTCCAATTTAGTCGTAATTTTGATATTTTTTCCACGGAACACAGTTTGGGAAACGCTGGTCTAGTTATATGCTCGTCTCATATGAATTCTAACGAACTACGTTTGGGGTCAGTAGGAAGCAAAACTGTTGACTCACTCAAACCAGACATTTTGCACATATCCCTTGTATTTTAGGTGTACACCAGTGCAAAAGCATGAGTAGTTATTGACTCAGAAATCCCAGTGACAGGAGCTGAGTAATATCTTCACTAACAGAACCAGCCAAACAATCAGCAAAGCGTTGTCAAAATCGTCCCTAACGAACCTTTAGATAGATATGTCAACCACCCAATCGAAATATACAGCAATTTGTACAATTTTATGTTATTTATTACAATGAAACTCTTTGGGCAAGAATTTTCTCAAAATTATGCACACAGAACACTAATGGTTCTTGGCAGTAGGTGAAAACTGAATGCTCATTAAATGAGCATTTAAAACATCTATGAGGGATGCAAATAAAAGTTTGGGTTAGTTATGTTCCATATATCTTTATTAGATGAAAAAATAAGGGCATCGACGAATGACCAATGCGTTAACATACAAAAACCGGCCTTCCTGAAATAGAGTCAATGTGTTTCGTTGCAAAGGAAGGCATATTTCAAGAAACAAAGAGTACGAAAAATTTAAAGCCACATCAAAATTGATTTGCCCTGTTCCAGATATTATTTAGGATGATATACATAAAAATAAAACGTTCAACTGCCGTCAACCTTCATTTGAGTTTCGGTATCGACATTAGCATACTGCACAAATTCAAAAAAACAAAACACGAAACAGAATATAACTAAAAGAGCATTTGATATTAAGGGTATTAAACGATCAAGCAGGAAAAGAAGCCAAATCAAATTTACAATTGTTTAATAATATGTGATTTAAGGCAGTAAGAAATATTACATCAAAACAAAGCGCAGATTAATTTCAGTTTTTACTACATTGGACAACCAACACCAAAAATCTGTGCAAACATTTATTCTTCAAACAAACTTGTGAGACTTCTCTTAAAAAAACATTTTTATTGTTCTTGTATATCACATTTGTGCTTTGTGTCAACATGACCTGTGTAAGGTAAGGACACATGTATGTTTCATATAATTTTGGAATGAAAATACTGATTCAAATATCAATCTTTGTAATTCTTGGTTATAAATATAAATGGTGGTAGATATAATGATATATTTTAATGAAGTGTTCATGCTGAATCTATCTTTAACAGCAACTCTTGAAGACTAAATTATATTGACAAGATAATGAAGCCTACACCATGTCATTATTGAGTAAACTATGACATATCTTCTTCATTAAACTTGATGTGATTGCATTTTTCCTCCTCCTGGGCTTGGTTGTTTTTGTTGAGCTTTCATCTGTGCTTGCATACGAGCCAGCATTTGTTGCATTTGACGAAGCTGTTAATTAGGAAAAGGGTTTATATAAAATGATATAAGAAACTGACTAAGGGAATTCAAAAAAATGCTTAATTGAAATAATTTCTGAAACTTCTATTAACCACTACTGTAAAGTTTAGGAGGTAATTTTCGTCAGTGGTAACTTAAAAAATGATCCTGGTAATAGCAATCCATAAACAGAACAAAAAAGTAAATATTAGTGAAGACCAAAAAATATTCAAGTCTTGTACTATCCTTGGTTGATATGATGACCACGTGATGATGAACTACATATGCCAAGTTACCAAAGTGGGAACAACCATACTTGCGGCATTCTCAGCTTGTTTTTGCAAAGGCATGAAATTCACAGATAATGAACATGGACAAACAGGAAAATAGGGACTATTTGTAAATATATAATATTTTAATGAAAAATACTTTGAATCATCAAATTACATGTTTCTAAATCTAGCTTCTTTTACAAACATAAATCTTCTAAAAAACAAATGTTACCTCTGCGTCTTTCTGCAACAAAATTTTATCTTTTTGTGAGAGAGATGGATCTTCAGGCCTGTAAGAAAATTTTAAATATTTAAAATCAAATCCGTTTAAATTTTGTCAGTCTCCCAAAGGGATCAAAAGAGTTTCACAAATCAATGTGACAAATAAGATTATCACTCTCAGAGGGACAAACAGTGACACAGTTTAAACCATTGGATCAAAAATAAGCTAAAGTGTCATTGAAATTTGTGCAAGAAACCAACTCGCGCTAGGAAATAGAGATAATACCACATTATAAAGCTTAGTAAATGACTGTATACTCATCCATGATTACCTAGTTTAGCTGTGTAATGTAATCAATCTGAGCTAGTGTTGTATATCATCATAAAGATGACTAAATGTAAGCAAAATCGATTGCGTTCTCAAAGAAATTGCAGTTTGATACTACTTGATCAAATTAACAAACATAATACTTTTTTAGATAATTATTTACTTGTATGTACAATTTCATTTGTAACTGATCCAATACCACTCTCCTACCACTGAATGAGCAGAATACTAATCAATTTAATATTAATTTGAGTTGGTTGCGCGAGACTAACTTCCTATCTTTTCTCTATGCCTTTATGCTAGTGGATCCGTATGCGTATACTGCAAGGATACTGTAGCTGGAATAAACATGACTATTCTATTCAATTAAAGAGTCCAGCTGCACACTAACACAAATGTATTTCTGTAACGTTTCGTCCGACCAGAGTCAGACTTCCTCAGACAAGCAGTTTTGGTCGGACGAAACGTTACAGAAATACATTTGTGTTAGTGTGCAGCTGGACTCTTTAATTGAATAGAACAATTTAATATTAATGTTTTATCAATTTAAAAACTATATTTATTCAAATCATGTATTCTACTTACTCTTCAGCACTTCCTTCTTTATGCTTAAGTCTTTGTGCACGGAAGTTTTCATAATGAAGATCATGGGTAACTTCTTGCAAATCTTGCATGTGCGTTCTGCAATAGTGGTATGCATTATAAATCACAGTACGTATAATTAGTCAAATTAAAATGATCTCATTCTACAAAATGAAAGTCTAACTTCTCCAGACAAAAGAAGATGTAACTTGAACAAATAGTGAATGGGCCTGACATGCGCAAACTATGGCCCGTGGGCCAAATCCAGCCTGTTGGGTAATTCAATCTGACCCAGCTGATGCTGCCACAACCAAATTTTGATGTTTTAGTTATAAATAACTCGCAGAATTTGTTCAGATTGCGATTAAATTTAGTTTTGGCATGAGGCTCATTGTTTCCACTTTTGCTTTTGTAACACTGTAAATGTTGTTCATAAAATGTAGCTTTTTACGTTACACTTACATGGCCCACCAGTCTAAGTCCAAAAACCTTGCCCACCCCTGAGTTAGATGAACTCGATTTAATAAACATCATAAATCATCACCTTAACTAAATATATAATACCCCCAAAAAAAGGGTTGAAGAACATATTGTTGGAAGATTAATATCTCTTAAATCGTTGAACTTTGAAACTTTACAATCTTACATGAGCATGGTTCTGAGTTTCAGGAAATCGCAATGTTCAGGATTTTCCACTTCAACAACTCCCCACGGATACAGACGACCCCTGACCTTTTTACCTTTGACTTCAATCAATTGTGTTGATCCAACAACAGCAAATGGAATGCTTTCCTATAAAATAGAAACAACATATTAAGAAAACTAAAAAAAGCTTATTTTATACAAACTATTATCTTAATTTGAAGAAAAATAGCCCAAAGATAAGGATACTAATTATTGGACATTGGCATAGTCTCCAAAAGATTTAAATAATTTTACTTGAATTGGCGGTTGACGAATCATGCTAAGCATTAGGAATACTATTGGCACCGCACCTCTTGATTACCCAGCATGGGTTCGTACGTTCGAATTCTGAGGGGGGATAAATATGTGTCCGAGGATTTCTCGTTGTAGGGTGGTTTTCACATAAGACATAACCCTGGTTGGTTAAGGCTTTCTCCATCATCCATGCATCCGATCAAACAACTGGCTAACTAATCCCATACAAGAGGCCGTGGTACGCCAAATGATGAATCCGTCTTTCTTATCGTCTTTCCTCTTTTTAGGGTTAAATATGAAAAACCTATCTTACTCGAAGAAGTCTGGTCTGTTCTTTAAACTCCTCGTCCTCATCGTCATCTGCATCAGGAAGTTGGTAAATTTGGATTCCATGAGAAGCGATCTCCTCTAAGATCCTCTGCTTCAACCTTTTCACTTCTGCCATTGTCAAGGTGTCAGCTTTGGCTATCACTGGTACTATATTGACACGATTGTGTAAGGCTTTCATGAATTCAACATCAAGAGGCTTCAGGCTTTTTTATTAAAAAAAAACACAACATCTTTTAGTATCGATTTTAATCTGAATATATTTGCATAAATACATGTCTGTAACATAACTTACCCATGACCCGCAGGCGAAATGAAATAGAAGCAACTATGTACTCGATTATCTATAATGTGACGTCTATTCAAACCACTCTCGTCGTGGAGATAACGTTCAAACTGATCATCAATGTACTGTATAATGGGCTTGAAACTAGAATAAAAAAATAATTTTGTGGTAAAAATGGGACAGATTTCTACATCTAAATCGACTGAATTTGATTTAAAGAGAAGTCTTTTACAGTAATGCTAAATCCACATAGAATAGATAAATATGTGATGGTATTGCATTCAGGGCATTGAGATATTATTTCGCTATCACAACCTAGTGATGAAGTGATTGGATATGATAAACTTCTGGTATACCAGAAAAATTCGAATCCTTCTGATCTCTTTATACTTCCCATGATTAAGTTAGAAGAGTGTAATCATGGAGTCATGGAAAAAATGCCTTCATTTGCCAGAATGGTTGAAATATTTTATGAGTATCACAGCACTTTTTTTTATTCCTGCTCTGACAATGCAGTGCCTCAATCAATCAAAATGGTTTCAAATACTGAGACTATGCCCTCCAGCAATATCTACACAACACCAAAGAGGTATTTATGACCCTTATGATGCTGTAAAAGAGTAGATTGTCTAAATTTTTACACTCTATTAAATTTAGCTAGTGTATAGGACATGTTATTATGTCCTTGTCATATGTCGACGAATATATCAGTTGATGAACTTGATATTTAAAAATATTGGTTCTCATGTTTTTGCCTGAGGATAAAAGTACTCAATGTATACAGAAAGGGCATATTGTTTTCCAAGATAGAAATATTCCCGCATTACCTTTCAGTTTATCTGTAAAAGTAGGAACTTACAGTAAAAACATTTGCATTGTTTTAGGTAATGGACAACGTAATATTGTTCGCCATCATGTACACATAGCTAACATATGAATCAAATAAATCTGAAATTCTATTGAATGTTTCAGTCTAACAAAAAGGTTATGATAAAGATATTGAGAGAGGAGATCACTAGTAGGGATGCGACAAGATTCGGACTCGTGCTCGGATTCGTGGCCGAATCTCTCTTAATTTGATACTCGGATTCGGCCCGAGCCCTTGATGATTTTACCCGAGTCTGTGACGTCATACGTCACACGATAGTCAATTCCAGACTCAAAGCGCATTCGACGAAAAAATTCAATATTTTCGTTCTGTTTTGCCACGAGACTGACCGGCCGATTTCCTCTCACTATTTCTCTCTTTTATCCAACTATCTAACAGGGAGCTCGCCTAAGTGAAATTAAAAGATTGCGTCAAATATGAAATTCACGACAACGTAAGGCGTTTAACGAACTAAAAAGTATGCCGCGTTAACAGCGAAATTCCGCCTGACGGTGTTTGGTGAATATTTTGCTAAGTCCTATTTCGAACTTCTACTAATCATCGACCATTAATCCGTAGTCAGCGAGTACTCACTTTTATAAATAAAAATCGTGGAAATTGATTTTTGACAGAAGTGCAACTCGGGAATGTCCGTGGAATGTCGTTTACACGCTCGCATTCAGCGCCCATCAAATGCATGAAATATGAAACTATTACTTAATGTTAATCTGAGTCGATTTTTTTTATCGTCATTTAATCAGTATTTACATATGCCATCATTATTGGTGGGTTAAATCGACTTATTCGATTTACGAATACCGGAATGTGGAATATTGTCAAAACTATTTTCGAAATGTTCTAGAAGACTGTAAACTCGTAACAACATGGCGTTTTTTATTTCATAATTTTGTCATAATCGCTGATTATTTTTTGTCACCGCGATCGTTTCGGCGGCCGACATTCCAGTTAATGCCGGTAAACTAAATTTAAGGCACTTTGTCATTAACGAGTAAATAATTAAATATTGATTCTCACGCCACGGCGTAAATCGTTGTTTGGTTTTTATATTTCGAACATAATTGTGAGTGCACATCGGCGAAGATGTTAAAGAGCTATTAAGGAGTGAATACACAACACAAATTAATTTTCTTTTCTATCTTCTGTGTAGGATTTGATTCTCCATGTCACAATTTGTAAATTAAGATCCCAATTTTGAGCGAACAATATTATCATTACGGTCTCCGGGATGCGATATTTGACTTTTTTATGCTTTCAATTTTATATCGTGTCTGTGTTATTTTTGTAATATAATAATAGTTGAACACTGAGAATTCACGCAACTCAGCTTTGGGTTAAAACAGTTATACTAAATATTTGAATAAATCGGCAATAGTGGCATTCCTTATTGATCAAAATAATATTTTTCCCTAAAATCTCGGAAAATTTTCATAGAATATTTACTAATCTGTTACGCTGTTTCTAAATTAAAAAAGCGGTGTTTACCGTCTTTATGAAAAATTTGAAATTGAAAAGATATGATAGTCGCAGGATGAAAACAAAAAAACAACAACACAAGATTTGTCACCTTCGTCGTTTTCGTCTGTTTGCGAGAGCGGTAGGTAAATTCTTCTTCGTAATTCGCTGTAAATTAACTGTTAATAAATTTTATTTTGCTTTTCAATGCGCCGTGATTTGTATTATTTAAAGTGGTTGCGTCGGACAAAGGGAGTCCTTCTCTCCTTTTGAGCGCCCATTCGTTTCTTATCTGTTTCACGGAGAGAAAGAAAAATACGCCTTTCTTAATTGCAATCAACAATTGCTCATTCTTATTTATCATTATCAGCGCCAACTAAGAAAGATGATTGTCCCGAAAGCAATAGTGTTTATGTGCAACGTTATGAATTACCGATACATAGTCTCATTTTACACAATGTTTAATTTACGACCAATATACGCGAACAACAGCTTCACTTTAGGCGTTTATTTCGTAGCTAATGAAAAAGAATTGGACTCGGGACTCGGAGACGAGTCCAGCTCAAATACTCGGATTCGACCGAGCCGAACCTTTTTGGATTCGTCGCATCCCTAATCACTAGTCTGATGGTGATTTGCAAAGTCTCTTTATAAGAAAAACTTGCAGGCTTATGGTGGAAAGGAGTATACTGCTTTTCAAATTTACCCCAGTTTGAGAACCATCGGTCTAGAGCAGGGGTCGGCAACCTTTTGTCGCTCGCGGGCCAAAATTAAAGGTTGCAAGTCATTGACGGGCCGCACATATTTTTGGAAAGTTAAAAATCGAATGGTTGACCGATGAATCACATTTTATCACACAGATCAGAAGTTAAATTTTAAGCAGCGCACGAAGACTGACCATTTGAATATTTTTGCGCCATTAAACCATTTGCACTTAGCATCAACTTTTCTGCGTTTTGTTGCCCTTTGTCTAAATTATAATTAGATTATAGGCTCATTAAACAAGTTATTGTGAATTATATACTTGTTACGTTATAATATAATTTAGTCTACACGTAAATTCTTTTGCTTAAAGAAGATAATCGACAAAACAGCTATAATTTTTTACTATAATTCAGTGAAGCGTCCCGGGCCGGATCATATTGCTCCGCGGGCCGGATCCGGCCCGCGGGCCGTAGGTTGCCGACCCCTGGTCTAGAGCATATGCTGTGTGCAATTTGTAATATTAATTCAACAATTCTCGCTGAGTCTATGAAAGCCTTTGGAATAAATCAGACAAAAAAATGAAATTGTCACATCGTCACCAATTAGGGATTGATTGAAAGCTTTAATTTACACAGACATTGAACAAGACTTAAAACAAAGAATCATAATCCTGAAAACATAGAAATTAGTTTTTACCAATCTGAACAATCCAATGCATCCCCATATCCAGGAGTGTCTACCACTGTCAGTCTTAGTTTGACTCCCCTTTCTTCAATTTCAACCGTACTTGCATCAATTTTGACTGTTTGATTGATTTTATCAGCAGCAGCAGGAATTGTCCTCTCTGGATATAAATCAGTCAAGAAAAGGCTGTTCACTAAAGTTGATTTGCCCAGACCAGATTCACCTGGAAAAAAAAATGCAATTCATTTTACATCAGCTCTAGCAAACAAGTAGAATTTGATTTTGTTGCAATCAATATACAGCAATGAAATTTGAAAATGATAAAATCAATGTTGAAGATAATTTTCGAATAAAATTTAGGAATAAACGCGCAGCAGATAATGATATTTTTCAAGGTAAATTCAAAATAATTTTCTGTTGTAGGATTCTCTTTGTACATAATATTCTTACAGACTCACTTATTTTAATTGTATTCATTAGATACAGGCATACAGCTTCGTTGAATCGACTACATGCACAAAGTAGTTAAGAGTTACTATGTACTTTTAGTTTGTAGAATACACTTTAAGACCAAAATAAAACATTCTATTCAAAGCTATGTGATTTAGCAATATTTCAGCATTTCTTAAAATATCAGGTAGGGGTCTCTTTGATAAAATTAGAAATTAAATCTCTCTCTCAAAAAATTTCAATGAGAGTAACTAATAAGTACGACAATATTAATGTTGGTAGAAGTAGGCCTTGTTTCCTCTTAGCACTTCGATGGCAATTCAATTGAAGTTCAGACCATTTCCTTCTCTTTATAGAATATTTTACTATTGCTACGGTGAATGATAAATGTCATGTTAAAAAAAATGTCAAGCATGTGGAATAAATAAAATCTAGTCATGAGGAGAAAAATTTCCGGCCACCAATAAGATTAATGAAGCAGGATTCTGTAATAACAAAATAGTCTGCTTCATGGATAATGACTTACCAACAACCATAAGAGTGAATTCAAATCCCTTTTTCACAGATTTCCTATGTACTTGGTTTGGCAGATTGGCAAATCCAACATAGCCAGCAGTTTCTGGGTTGGTAAACTGTAATAAAATAGCATGGAAATTTGAACATAAAAGACAACACATATTGAATAAAAATACCATCACCCGCTGCATTAGTTTCAGCAGATTAAAATGCCCACCAGTGGTTTGCAGCAATTTGGTTAGCGAAACTATACTAAGTACAGTACAGTAATCATTGAGGCATGATTCATGTATGTCACATGCTCAGCAATCACTGCCACAAACAATTGCCTAGAAGGCAGAAAATTGTTTTTAAGCTGAATTATAGAATTGATAAACTTTCATAGGTATATCCTTGAAAGATTATTTGAATTATTTAATATAGATTTCGAAATATATTTCAAAACAATAAATAAATGAGTTCGTCACAACACAATCCATGCGAAAAGGAAAAATTCAATCAAAATAAAACCACAAACACGCAGGAAATCCTTTCACCAAAATAAATCCACCACCAGTTCATAACAGGTAAATTATGTTTCTACTTAGATATTGGCTTGCAAATTACAATTTCTGAGAAAAACTTATTTATGTTAAGATTCTACAAAATATAAATAAGACTCTATCAGATTCTTTTGCAAATCAAGGCTATTGTGAGATACTACATGGAATGGATTAATCCATATTTTTGTTCAGGCAAGATTTATGCAGTAAATAAAGAAGATAGAAGATATATTTGATGGATTGTTTTGAATTCTCCTATACTTCCAACTGAAGCCATTAGGGTTCACTTTAGGGATGCTTATTTGCAGCTTTGTTTATGTGTAACCAATAACTTACACTATATTATTTCACAGAGAATTTCACAGCAAACATCACTATTAATGAAAAATTGGCCATGATTAAGCCACTTTCAAGAATGTTTTATGTGGTGTTATTCTTTTCTCGAATAAACATAATAACAATTTAAAACTGAAATTACATTAAGCAGCTCCACTGTTGTCAATGTCTATAAAATCATTACATAAATCAATTACGGTACGTAACATTAACAACATTGTATCAAATACTCTAATGAAAATTTGTACTAAATTGGGATTTGTACAGTATCAGACTCAATGCTAGCAGGTAAGTCCATACTTCATGATACTCTTGACAAACCTTGAATTTGGAAGGATCTTCCCTACTTTCTTTCGTCGGGGCATACGCCTCATATTTCTTTCGTATTTCGGAGGCAGCGCTGTACTGCAGAAGCAGAGATTAAACATTTATATAAAGTAATTAATAATATCAAAATTTTTATTTGTACATTGTTTGAACACACAAAGATGAATTGTGTAACTCGAAGTTGAGTGTAATGAAACATATGGAATGAATGGTGAGAATTAAAAAGATGATGAAACAAATTAAATATTTAAGCCCATACAAATTTAGCTCTCATTTCATCCATAAAGTTATCAATTTCAACATCAAAACTGTTTCTTAGAATTGCGAACTGATTTTGAGATCAAATCAGAGTTACCGAGCAATCTTGTGAAAATATTGTTCCTAATAATTTAATTTATTTAAACTTTGAACTTATTGAAGAAAATATTGCATTCAATCGAAAGGAATTTACAAAAAATAGTTACGGTAAGATTTGTCTAAACTTAATGTAATAACATTGAATAATTTTTAGAGTTCTGAAAATTGGGCACATGTATTAAACCTGATGTCTTTCATATCTTTCTGTGTAAATTTCAAATAAACAGTATGAATTATGAAACATGAATTATGTGCATGAAATGAAAATTCCTTTTATAGATGTGTTTCCTACAAACGTTTCCAATTATGACTTAGAAAAACACCACAAGACGTGTCAACTAACAATTAGCTTTACTGGTGAAACAAGACAAATTAAAATTTAGGATACAGCGAACGTTACACAATATGATAGCTCAGTAAAACAGACGACAAGAATATATCAAAATTAGCCCAGAACATTTTGACGAAATAAACCATTCAAAATAACAAAGCCAACAAATATAAGAGAGAGAAACTGGAAATCAAATAAATTTCACACATCTGCATTTTCAGCAAGCTAGCACACCCAAGAAAATAAAATACACATCTACAGATTGTCAGCATGCAATTTACTGATATATATTTTACTGCTTGACCTATTCAGGAAAAATTCTCTAGAAGAGCATAAGCCATGGATGGGGAGTAAGCTTAAAACTACATGGCTACTATCTAAATAAACAGGCTGTGATGCATATGTTTTCTGACTTAATAAGAGAACGAAATAAGCATTTCATTATGTTTTTTCACAAAAGAAATGTAGAAAGTCATGCACAATAATAATCTATCATTTCCTCTCTAAATAAATAATATTACTTTGATGTGTATTTTATTTTAGATATTTGGAATTATCCTTTAGAGCAGGAAATGAGGTCCACTTCAAATAAAAAAAGAAAATCAACAGAATCATTTGAATTTGGCAAGCTTCATTCTTAATTAGGCAAGAGCCTTATTTACGATAAGTAAAAAAAATCATACCTTAGGTTCTGTAGATTCAGGAGATCAAAGTAACAATATGGAAAAGAAAAATAGTCAATATATCAGTTGCAATAGAAAAAATGTATTAAATGTAAATATGTACAAAATTTAGGAATAAACAGACTTCAGTGATTGGATGGCAATTAGTAGGTCGTCATACCAATTGATCAGTTTCTATAAATAGAACAAATTTGATATATCATATGGTGCATTGTAGCTTAATAAGGTAAAATTTCAAACATTCTATTTTTCATATTTTGGTAAAAAAAAAAATACAATACTTCAGTGGCCAGAGTTATCATAGACAAATCATTTGAATAAAAATGAATAAAATAGCCAAGTAAAAACAATTTCATAACATTTATCTAAATTACTGGTGAAACTAGTATAGGATTATCTATGGTAGCAAGGGAATGTTTTTTCCTTTTTAGAGCAAGCAACTCTGCTGCATAGAAAATAAGCATACAGTAGAGAAGTAAACATACAATAATCCAATTTAATCCATACTTAAAGATAATAGAATAGTGAACAATCAATTCTGCTATTGCAACAAGGCATATCTGGAAAGTTCAGAGGTTTATTAAGCACAATTATTGTTTTACCAGTTAATTCTTTAATAAATTTCACATAACGCATCAGCAGTCCCCCTGAGCTGAACTTGTTTTCGCCCATTATTTTTTAATAAAAAATCTCTAACATAGTGGTACTGGAAAACTTCTTTTTATTTTGGTGAATCACATTCTTTCTTCTGAAAGTTATTCATGACATTTCAGATTACGCCTCTCTTCAATTTATCACGCTCCCTTAAAAAACACTTAGGGGTTTGTAGTTATCATTACATCACATGAACGCTACCTGGTAGCATAATATCGCTTCGTTCTAGTTATTATTAAGAATCAAGATGATGATATTGTGAAATGGGCAGAAAGCGACATGGTTTTTGTGGCAGATCACGAGAAGCACGATACACAAAATCCCACCGACTTTCTATAAATACTTATGACTGTATGAGAGGACTCACTGACTCATAGGCAAAAAGAGATCTGGAAGACAGGTAGAATGAATTTCAAGCTGGAAGTCAAGAATTGCCATATTACAATAGGATTTATATATTTATCCGGGGGAGCATGACGAGATCTGACATATCAATCCTCGTGACAGACACCCGCATTTCATAAACAAATAGAGTTATTGAACCAAATGTCAGAATGTTGGGAAAAATTGAAACTGTGCCCAACTGTAACGCTTAGCAATATGCGTCACACTGCCGAGCAATATAACAGCAGTAGACCCTATACTGATATACCGGTCTGTCAGTACAGCAGTAGCAGACAACATTTGATAACAGCAATCGTGAATTAATCCAGTAATCCATAATTCAGTAATTCTAAGGAACTGAAACACCAGAATTGTCATGAATATGAAATTTTCTCTCTCCAGCTCTCAGCCGCAAGCTAATCATTATCGTTAATATTATAAACATAAAATTTACCAAGTACTGAAGTACGGTACCGGTACTGAAGTAATAATAATGACGAAGAATGAAACTATATCAGTACCGGTATATTCTTTCAAACACAGTCAAAACTGGCGATATCTCATATCTTATTACAGTATTAGGTACCCAAACACTAAAACAAGATTGGCTTGTTTTTAAATTTTCTTAAAATATTTCAAATGTTTTATTCAACTTGTCTCAAATTGTTTGTGTCTAAATAATTAGGAACAGTTTAACAGCAAAACAATGCTAATTTTCATTGATGTCAAATGTCTGAATGTTACATGAAATAAGACTGCTATTACTGCAGTCTGGCAGTGCGTTGCGGTATCGCATTAGACAGTTAAACAGATTAATCAGTTTCATGAGTTTGCTGGTTGGACAGTTGGATGAAATACCGGTACCGTAACGTATTTTATGTATTAGACCGATATGCGTATTAAAAAAATTTCTTACCCGCCATTGCTCAGTAAGTTAATAATAACTTGCATAAAACGCTTGAATCCAGAAATATGCACCGACTTCGCACAAAACGCAATACAAAAACAGCAACAAAATAACCTGACGTTCTGACGTCCACGCCTATTTTTGTACAAACGAGAAAACGGTTGGGAGAAACGCACAGTCAATCACGCATAACGCATTCTCAGCTGAAGGCAGCCTTTGGTAGGGATGAGATTTTCACCAAGTTTCGAGATAGGGATTTTCACCCTCAAAATAAAAAGCATGACAAAAACAGGGGACCGGTATCATACCGATATTAAATTGATACGGTTCCTGAGATAATTTGAAAAACAGATAAGAGCTGAAAAAGCAGACTCGAACTCGACTGATGTGAGCTTAGTAGTTTTGAGAGATTCATATAAATTTTATTTTATTGTCTTTTTTGTGTTGGTTTCGTTGATCTGAAATTTTTCCTGCGCCGCATGGGAAGGAAGGCATAAAGAAAATGAGTAAACGTCAAGATGCAAAATTCGCCAAGTTGGAAGGTGCCCAACGTGAAACGCAAGATGTGGGAGTGTTGTGGGTATGGAATGGCTTGGGCCTCACGATGATTAGACGAAATATATTTTGTATGGGTAAATCAAAACGACAAAAAATGCGAACCACGACTTCAACGCGAAATGCCATTGCTGCCTGGGTCTCTAGCACCTGTCAATAGTAGTAAATTTATAAATCTTCAACACATTCGTTTATCATTAAATACCAGATAAAGTCGTATTGATGTTTCCATTGTTGATCATTGTTAATGAATCCGATATATGAATTATCGAAAATTGTTGAGGTGAGTAAACAACTCACAATTTTAGAGGTTGACGTAGATTTCATTTATCCTGATTTTCAACTGTTTCAGATATTTATCATCCAATCTATGTCCATCTAAATTTCTAATCCAACTAGTTTGTGTATTTTGGTAACCAAAATTTTAACATTTCGAATAATACATGATGATTGATTATTAATTTGATTCTCCCGTTGTGTAAATACAACATATGACATCATAATGTCACACCATATATATCTGTATTTCATCACGTTCAGTAGCCAGTCCGTTATTACCTATCTAATCAAACGCGTGATTCCTAGCGCCTGTGCACAACGATAGCTATCGGAAAGTACCACTATTTATTTGATAAAATTGTTGAGGCCCATCATTTCATACGTAAAAATCACAAAGAAATTTACGATGCAGTCAATTCAAGCATTTCATCAAACCGATAATAGTGAGTCTAGTGACAAAAAAAATTATGCATCTGAACTTTTGTTGGTATCGGCGAAAAAGGGGCGCTCCCGTAATATGTGAACCAAGCGGCGGACACCTGAACATAGTATTTGTACCAGTTTAGGGTTAGGCAATAGTCTTATTCCAATTTTTCTTATTTCTGTTCTATTACGAGTTCGGGGAGTAGCCAAGTAGTATTTGTACCTGAAATTATGGCCTAACCCCAACCATACTACGTTCCGGTGTCCGCTATCTTGGTTCACATACTACGGGAGTACCGAAAAAGGTGATATCGGTTCATCTCGATTTATTGCAGCGTTGTGTTTTTAAATGTAAGTTACGGTGACCGTACATTTGAACCCACGTACATTTGAACCCATGTGTATATCCACGGGTTCAATCTATATGCGGGTGCTAAAACCCATGGGTTAGGGTTAGTATGGGTTCAACTATCCGTAAAACAAAAAAAAATTCATAGGTACAATAGCATACAGGTGCAATTGTCATGGGTTCAAATGTACGTGGGTTCAAATGTAATGGAACCGTAAGTTACTGCCCAGAATTCTCTAGCGATTAGCGTACGTATCTTGCCTGTAACTAGAATTTCGTATTTCACGCAGTTTACCAGTTTGTTCATGACTTCATAATACATTTCACGTGAAAGAACTATTGTGGCGTTAAATTGATTCTACAGGACCTAATGACGTCATTGTTAAAGACCTCATAAATGGCATAGCCTATGGAAGGGGTGAGCAAAGTTTTTTTTATTCAAGGCTCGTTCTCAAAAAACTTTTTTTGCAAAGGACCGCAGTACTTAATTTTGCCAAGAACAATATCACCTCTAGTTAAAATTTAATATTCAAAATATCCCAAATTAAAGATTTTTAAAGAAATATATTGTACGACAAAGTAAAAACATCTACCGTCACACTTTTATTTGATTGATTAACAGTTATTGTTTAACTAAAACTAATGTCAACAATAGTATTTACATTTTAAAACTATCGAATTCAGTTTGCTGTCTGTAGAAAACACCCCCGAAACGGAAAATTGTGCTTGATAAAACTTAACGCTTTGACAACGAGTGTTAATAGCGAGTAGAGATATTTTAAAAATCATACAGCATTGTCTTATTTTCGATAAAAATTTAACCTATAGGAACATTTTTTAATATAGTCGTTTCAAAGACTAATACAATCATAGTATTCTGTACGAAGAATGTGTAGAAATTGATAACTCTAAGGATAGTAATCATATCATCGGACATAACACAGCGCAGAGGTAAAAAATGTTCTGCGACAGTCATTATCTCTCAGTTAAAGCGTTAACACGACGAATTAGGTAAAACAACGAGCAGTAAAATAAGAATCGCTTACCTGGCAAGTCCACTTGTGAAAATAGTTTGATGCCTTTCCTCGGAAGTTTTTTTGGACTTTCTTCCTTTGACCTACTCATTATTTAATTTTATATCACACTAGCTGTAAGGTAAGTTAGAGGTACATTCACATAAGTTTACGCTATTTTATCAACAGCTTCGAGCGACGCTACATTTCAGAATGAACGCAGTAACAATTTTAACGAAACCTGAAGCCAGCTAAACGGAGAACAATAAGTGCTAGGCGAACCGAAAAGCGCAACCTGAATCTTTTTACTAATTTAGCTGACATTAACTTGGGTACGCTAAAAACTATTTACTTCTTCGCTACTATAAAACGCTTAGCGCCATTAAGACAGATATTTGTATCCCTTGACTAAAAGGTTTATTACTTTGGTTTAACACACAGCGTGAGCGTTTACAAAGATATGTGGTAGTGATACCGCGCTGCGACGGTATATGACGACATACGAGGTAAAGATTGTTTATTTTGATAGGGATAATAGGCCATGATACTGCGTCTTACAGATTTTATGATAGTTCAATACCGGTAAAGAATTGTGTTATTGTACAATATTGAATAAGCCTCAACGCTCTAAAATTCTTGAAATTCAATCATCATCTCACACTTTTAAAATGACTTTATGGACGAATTGATATCTAACGGAATATTTTACTTTAATTAGGGCCACAGGAAGCCTACACTTTAAATAAAACTGTGCATTTATTGTCATTCCAACTAAAAGATAAAGCCAAACTCTTCCTAATCAATCAATATCCTTTTCTAGACGAGAATTGCACTGTTCATGGGCGCGGTTAAAATAAAGGCTATGAAACCACTTAAAATACACTTGTAGTTAGGTTCAACAAACAATAATCCACCAATCTAATCCGTTTTCGACGCGCGTCTCATACAATACGCATGCCTCGCCCATAAGTTGATCTCAGCGTGCTAATCGACTACCATAGATTATAAAGGACCGAGCTTTTCGCAAAATAAATACAGTAAAAACATTTACGACGATATTCTTGAATCCGCTTGTCTAACCGGTATTAATAAATTCAGCTAAAACAGAGCTTTACAAAAATATTTATATTGAAGTTACTACATATATATAGAAATATACGCGACTTAGCCGAAAAAGCACTTGCCTGCAAATCGCAAGTGAATTGTGGCGCAAGCATTAACAGATATGTAAAGTGAATATGTCAGTGCAGAGAAAGATCAATAAGAACAGGAAACGAACCAATGATGTAGCGCCAGACTTATCTTCGCGCTAATGGCGTTGTACTATAGTAAGCAGCATTGCAACTCCGTGATAGTAGTTACAGTACTGAACAGTTATAAACCTAGATAATTAGATCCCATGCTCACAATACTATCTTAAAATAAAATCACACCCTTTGGCGGTTCTGGTGTAACGTGAATATTTTGGGTCTCATTTGTGCTAATTCACAGACACACAAATGGAAAATTATGTTCTAATAACATCCAGACAGCTTTGCGTGGGTGAATTCTTCGCTGACATCATTCATATATACCTTAACCAGTAGTGGGATTCAGCCGGTTCGCACCGGTTCTATAGAACCGTCTCGCGGAATTTTATGAAATCAGCGAACCGTTTAGCTTACCGGTTACTGTCAATGTTCTGTTTGTAACAGAACCGACTGAGAAATATGACTTTTGTGATAGAACCGGCTGACAAAAAATTTGAATCTCACCACTGACCTTAACTATCTATGTAAATGTACGAAAACAAATCACCTTTTAAGAACTGGAAACGACGGATCCCTAATATATATATATATATATATATATAATGCAAAGAAAGCCTTCACTGAAACTTGCAAGCAGAAAATTCGGACCGGATAAACATATATCTTTTCGCAGAGTTATTGCCCCCGATATTAAATAAAAACTGCTATACTCATGTATTCACTAATTCCATGATAATGTTTCATAGAATACCATTTGTATATAAACCTGGCAAAAATGATCATTGGTCATAGAAAATTTCCTAAATACAAAGGAATATAAGCACTTTATGCTCGAAAGATCTATTTTCACGACTAAGTCGAAACGATTCAATTGTTCAGAATTCGCAAAAGTTGGATCCGTGACGACCGCAGCAGGACAAAAAAAATGGGACAGAAAGTTATCACAGTTTTCGCTGATTATTATTTCGAAAAGAAACATTTCATTTATTCTCGACTTTGGGTCGGTAGACATGATCACAAAATGAAACTGACTCTTATAATTACTGTTCTTCATGTTCATATATATTCTAATGCCTACACCTCTTGAGTGTTGTATTATTTATTCATTTAATTTCAATTCTTTCTGGCAATTCGGGAGTGTTTATTTTATAAACACGAGCGTACCTTTAAAATAAAATAATAGGTGTCTTTCAAGCAAGGCCACATACGATTTTTTATCTATGTCTTGGGTTTAACCAATTTACCAGTTGACAGAAATATATTGTTTATTATGCATGACGTAAGTAGAACAGGCAATTAATCCGAGTCTCTAAACCACAAAACCAACAACGAGCACTCAGAGATGTAAAAGCACGGAGCAATAAATCCTTGAATGAACAATGTCAATATATTACCACAATGTTCGCAATAAATTTAAGATTGTCTAATATCAATTCAATCTATCAGACATACAATTTTCCGAGGATTACTGCTGGGTATATCTTTCGCGTTTCCTGACAAGAAGGCCATTATTTTGTATTATTTAATAATACTTTTTGATTGGTAAGAATTAAAAATTCTTGTTTTGGTTTGACTTGTCCACTTTTTCTATATTTGCATACAAGAAGAAGCTTTCCAGATACTCTTATTGAAGCAATGACACTGGGTACTAAGTGAATAGATTAAAATTATGAGTGTAAAGCCAAACGATCTCTTAGTACCAATGCAGGAATGCCCTGTTGTTGATAATAACCCTGTTTTTCAATTCGGTCTATGTCAATGGACACTTCATATAAAATGGCATTGTTAGTGACGTACCAAGGGAATGAAGTTCTGCCACTTTTGACCACAAATTCACCAATTTTGACAATATTAGCCCATTTTATATAGTGTGTATTTGGATTTCCAGACAATGGAAATCTTGTTAAAAATCTGTGTTTCCACATTTACAGTTTTACGGCATATAGACGATTAGAGGTCATATTGTTGTGATGCCAAATAATTCTTTAAATGGGCTGGTATCATTCTTAGAGATTTTTACATACTAAAGACCTAAACTATAAGCGAAGTATATTTCCATTTGTGAATAGTTCATTCTGTTCTTTTGTTAATGCTTGTTGTGCAAAAGAAATGGGTAATTGGTATCTCTTTGCCCTATTGCTAGTTCTTCGCAACATTTAGTATAAATTAAATACCAGTAAATGCGTACTTGGGACACATTTATTGAACCTCCACAATAGTTTTGACAGGCATTTTTACCAGTGCACAATGTGAGGCAGGCAATGTATGGCTGGAATATAAATTTGGAACTATACTTATGACTTGATTGTTGAAATACAGACTTATGAAAAATATACATTTGACATTGTTATTTCGGGCATGAAGTGATGTTATGTTTAACTTTGTTCAGAAGAGGGAATGTATCAAATAAAATCATTGTTCAAACGTTAGTTAGTAGTTAATTAGTTACAACTTTAGATAAACAGTAAAACATGCAAAGCCGATGATAAGCATGGAAATTCTATTCTCTGATACTTTTTGCCTCTGTCATTTACTTTTTGCTATTTCGCAAACATATGCATTGGCATCAAAACAATACTCATCATTGATTAACCACTTTAATAGTTTATGCAGCATTCCACATCTTTCACTTGCATTATTTGGTTCACTGGGAGCCCAAGCAGTGTTATCATTTGTCGACGCAATACCGTCGATCCATTCCCATTTGTTGATTACTTCCAGGTCATCCAATCCTATCCACACTCCATAAACAGATCCAAGTTTATTTGCGTGAAAAGCGGGAAGTATCATTTCATCCATAATGCTTCTAAATTGATAAGATGGTAATTATCCCTTTGAAGATACAATGTACTTTTTTCAAGATAAATTCTAGTTTCTATGAATTATCGATCCGAAACTCATTGAAAGTATTTTATATAGAATGCTTCTCGTAATTCATCATTTCAAATTAGCATAAAACAATATACATTAAACTACAAAGTAGCATGTAGTGTAGACTTGAAAAATGAAATTTATAACGGCCCAGCTACCGTTAAAATGTCGTCATGTTTTACAGGACATTCTACTTTCTTTAACATTCTTAAACAACTCATTGCAATGAAGCAAAATGGGATAATAGACTTTGTGATAACGACAAACAGATAGAACTGCTTACTACAAAGGACATGTTCTTACAGACTGATTTGCTTTTGACGACTTTTATTTTTCATTTTCACGATTCTCGTCTTGTAGCATTACACAAAAGGTGTTATTCAAAGCACATAATAGCTACATAATATTTTATTTAAATATTTTACAATTCGATATATTTTCTATCAATTTGATAAACAATAATTTGATGGTAATTTTTATGCTTGTCTTGAAAATGTGTCTACTCAAGTTTAGCCTCCTTCAACTAATTTATCAGATTTGATGCAGAACAAAAAAAAAAACGGAAATAAACGTTCGTAAAACAATTGGTGAAATTGTGTATTCCTATCTTATTCGTTTGCAATATGATGATAAACAAATGAATGAAAATATAAGAGTTGGTTGAAATTAGTTTCATTACATGAACTCACTTGCGGGTGACTTTATTCCTTATTCCCTCAGTTACCAATCTTGCATTTGCATTTCTGCAACCATTTTTTGCTGCTTCATAATTAACCTCAGTTGGAAACAACTTGTACGATCCAGCTGAAAAGTGATGCCAATCATCCCATCCAGAGCCTGAAAAAACAAATACATTTTTAGGTAATATAAATATCGAAAAAATTGTTATCAATAATTGTTTCAATATTATCAAATATATTAATTGTGCAACATATATAAAATGATTCCAACAGTTATATCTGTTTAACAATTAATGTCAAATGGAATTGATTAGTCTTCTCAAAATCAGCTTTATTTCGCCTGTGCAAATCAGTAAAACTAAGGTTATTTTTCAGATTCTAAAATTGATTTAATCATGTAACAACAATAATCATCATTGTTTGAAAATATTATGATATCTTATTTATTATACACTAATTTATTTTATTATAAAATTTGCAGAATTTTCAAAAGTAAGTGCATTGACAGCATAAGCGTGATTTTCTCTTCGGTCAACCGATGCTATATTTTAGATTTTTGTTTATGTATGTATCTTATGACTTCCAAATTAAATCCTGATTCAAAAAAATCCAATCAAAAGATTACTATTTCTTAGGAACATTGAGGATATGACTTTTGATGACACAAAACATACATGTTATACAAAGAGTTAAAAACATAACGGACACTGGACAGAATATGCAAATTTGTCAATTGCGATGTAAAAGAATGAATGGTAAGCAAACCGACCTGTAAACGTATGGAATTTATAAAAATATATAGCTACTGATAAACGTTTTCTACTTTACTTTCTGTAGTTGGTTGCAATTGTAACATTTTGTAGTTGGTTGTAACTGTTGAGACTAGGCTTGTAACAATCATAATTACAACAAGGACGATTATTATTATTATCACTGCTAAAACTATACCAAATACCGTTTTCTTATTCATGTTAGCGAATGCTGAATAATGCAAAATGATTTTTTTTTAAATTCTACAGCTTAGTCAACTACATTTGAGCGATAACACTCGTGACAGAAAGACAAGACTATGACATAAGTTTCCAACGATATTCGAATTCAAACTATTTTACAAGATTATATTTGCATGATTCCATGCGAACATCAGATTTCTTCTATCTGTGAAATATCATTCAATAAAATAATCATCGAATATTAAATGACATCGTAATAGCACATTAATAATATTTTTCTTCTTTTTATATTGACAGCGATATTCTCACTTCGGGTTAGAAACATTTAAACTAATTAAAGTAAGAAATATCTTAAGAACCCATTCTGGAAGTCCACTCAAGCTGCGCATCTCCAGTACTACAATTCATAAATCGCATAGAGTATATATTCATGAAAGCGCTCTAAAGGCTCCTAATCTTCTATCTTTAGTATGCTTTATATGCTACAACTGGTAACTTCCGCCGTCAAGACATATCATAAAGTGAAACATAAGTCAGATATTGAGTTGTAATAACAATAATGGCTCAAATATCCTTTTAATTTGTAGTTCAGTAAATATTTCTAAAATGAATTTGAAATGAAACTTTATGAGGTTCAAAGCGAAAGCAATTCTGGTATTGTAATATGCGATTCGAGTTGTTTAATGTTGTACAACAGAAAAATATATATATGTCCAATAAAAATGTATGAATGAAAACAGTTTTCTTTGCATCAAAGATTGCCTGGATCGTAGGTGCCGGTCCGCCTAGCCATCGCGCTGCAATGTAATTGATACAGAAATATAGACACAACATTCATTTTAATAGATTTGATCATTTTATTATTTTGGTCTGTGATTCCCATGTTGATATATTATTAGATGCAATTGCCTCTACAACTAGAGGAACCGGCTTATACGCCAGTAAGTTGTTTGTGATTTTAATAACTAGTGATTTGATAACATTCCATTAATTTGGAAACACTCCCCTTCCTGTAATGAAAAGCTGGAAAACATACTTGCTGAAAGCACTTCCATAGGCCTTTTCCGAAGACCTGGTTGGACGTTTTCACAGCACAGTTGAAGAGATGCTATATCGACAATCGTATCAGATTTTGACCATGCTCCTGATTAGCAACGGTCGACAATTACATCGCTCATCTTTTGCATGCATACCCAGAAAGAGGACCTCCTGAAGTATGCGCACAACCTGAACTCAGGTTGTGTACCAGGTTGGGGTTCAGGTTGTGCGATATCTTGGTGCGCATACTTCAACAGTGCCCAAAAAGACGGTAATTCAATTCTATTATTATGTATTAGGCAATCCATCAATTAAGTATCAACACCAGATATTTATCCTCTAATGTGTTTGCTGTCACTTTAATTAATATCGTATACCAAGGCAAATCATTCCGAATAATTTAATAAATAAACAAGAGAGCAATCTTCAAATAACGAAAATCAAAACGAGGTAGCAACATTTTTTTTTCTCCATTTCGATCGTCTGACTACCAGATCGCTGACACGCGACCGCGAAACCGTCACACAGTGCACAATGTTGATGACGTCATTACACAAAACTCAAAAGTAAAAACGAATCCCATAGACCCAACAAAATTTTTTAAATAAATAAAAGTAATGGTTTTCTAGTCTCTTTTTAGGTCTGAACGTCATAGTAATATCAAATCTGCATGCTGGTAAGCAAGTTTAAGAGTTCTTTAATGCTCTAATCGTCTTTTCTACAAACAAATTTTGCATGTAAGAAGTTGATAGGAAACGTTAGTTTACCTTCAGTCACCAAAACAGTTTAAAAGCCAAAAATGCAATAAAATTACATCTTTATTTTTTCTTTGTCTTTTTCAAATCCTCTTTTTCTCGAATATCGAACATCACACTGAAGTACTTGATAAAGTTTCTCTAATAGTTACCAGAAGACGGTAAATGTAATCACAGGAATGTGCACAAAATGAGGACATATGAGGAATAGACGACTGTTCTTAGCGAAATTTATATACCATCAGTAGTCGACCACTCTTTCCAGATAGAAACCCTGGTACTACTTTATTAAAGTGCTTGCCAACCAATGGGTTGCAAAAAGGTAATCGTTATAGGAAGAAGTATTCATGGATCAAAAAAGTTTTATGCCTCAGAAAAATATCAAAATGACTCTCGAAAATTGCTTATACATATTCAGAAAAATTTATCAAAAGACGTAATCTGTGGAATAATTTTTTTTCAGAGCTGACAAAGTTTAATGAGTGAGTAATACAAATTTGAGGATGCATTTTTACCAGTGCACAATGTGAGGCAGGCAATGTATGGCTGGAATATAAAGTTGGAACTATACTTATGACTTGATTGTTGAAATACAGACTTATGAAAAATATACATTTGACATCATTTCGGGCATGAAGAGATGTTATGTTTAACTTTGTTCAGAAGAGGGAATGTAACAAATAAACCATTGTTCAAACGTTAGTTAGTAGTTAATTAGTTACAACTTTAAATGAACAGTAAAACATGCAGAACCGATGATAAGCATGGAAATTCTATTCTCTGATATTTTTTTGCGTCTGTCATTTACTTTTTGCTCTTTTGCAAACATATGCATTGGCAACCAAACAATACTCATCATTGATCAACCACTTTAATAGTTTATGCAGCATTCCACATTTTTCACTTGCATTATTTGGTTCACTGGGAGCCCAAGCAGTATTATCATTTGTCGATGCAATACCGTCAATCCATTCCCATTTGTTGATTACTTCCAGGTCATCCAATCCTATCCACACTCCATAAACAGATTCAAGTTTATTTGCGTGAAAAGCGGGAAGTATCATTTCATCCATAATGCTTCTAAATTGATAAGATGGTAATTATCCCTTTGAGGGTACAATGTACTTTTTTTCAAGGTAAAATCAAGCTTCTATGAATTATCGATCCGAAACTCATTGAAAGTATTTCATATAGGAAGCTTATCGTAATTCATTATTTCAAATTAGCATAAAACAATATACATTAAACTACAAAGTAGCATGTAGTGTAGACTTGAAAAATGAAATTTATAACGGCCCAGCTACCGTTAAAATGTCGTCAATTTTTACAAGACATTCTACTTTCTTTATCATTCTTGAACAACTTATTTCAATGAAGAAAATTAGAATAATAGACTTTGTGATAATGACAAGCTGATAACACTTCTTACTACAAAGGACATGTTCTTACAGACTGATCTGCTTTTGACGACTTTTCTTTTTCTTTTTCACGATTCTCGCATTACACAAAAGTTGTTATTCAAAGCACATAGCCTAATAGCTACATAATATTTTATATAAATATTTTACAATTCGATACATTTTCTATCAATTTGATAAACAATAATTTAATGATAATTTTTATGCATGTCTTGAAAATGTGTTTACTCAAGTTTAGCCTCCTTCAACTAATTTGTCAGATTTGATGCAGAATAAAAAACAAAAAAACCGAAATAAACGTTCGTAAAACAATTGGTGAAATTGTGTATTCCAATCTAATTCGTTTGCAATATGATGATAATCAAATGAATGAAATTATAAGGATTGATTGAAATAAGTTTCATTACATGAACTCACTTGCGGGTGACTTTATTCCTTATTCCCTCAGTTACCAATCTTGCATTTGCATTTCTGCAACGATTTTTTGCTGCTTCATAATTAACCTCAGTCGGAAAAAACTTGTACGATCCAGTTGAAAAGTGATTCCAATCATCCCATCTACACTACGGCCCGCGGCGTAATTTGATCCGGCCCGCAATAACACGCAAAAATGGCGAAATTCTTTTCTAATGGAAATTTTCCCGAGCATTGTCTTCCTTATTTATTTGATATTAGAGGCAAATCAGCAAGATGCAAAAAAAGTGACGTAATAATAGGCCTTTTTGCATCCGCTCAGACACTTTTGTCACCTTGACAGATTTTCAGTCTTGGTTGTAAGCAGTACTTCGTTTTTGCGATTTTGAAGTATATTCGTTAGTTTTTGGTTGTGTTTAAAATTTCAAGTATGAATCAAATAATTCAATCATCATTTGCCTCCTTAAGAGTTGTAGTTTTAATTGTAGTAATGAAAAATTAGTTTTGCAATAGCTGTGACAAAATAGACTAAAACTATCTACCGGTGCGAAACGTTTTCCGCGAGAGATGCACTGGTATACTTGTGGCGCGTGCTTTCGACGAAGCTGTTTACGTTTCTTGTGCTGAAATGAACGTCGAATGTGCATGTTGCGCTAACAGTACTGTGATCCTTCGCCAACTGCTGCAATTCCACAAGTCACACTTACTTTTGTACAGCCTAAATGCGGATATTTGTGTGGGTATGTTACAAACAAATTTAAGTTCACCCGATTTAAATAAAAACTGCGCCAGTGGATAGATCTGAGTGAAAATAAGAAGAAAAGTTTATAAAAAACGGTCCAGAAACAACGAAGATATTGGAATTTTAGTACCGCCCGACATTCCATTTTCTTCCATAAGGATTGTATTACTTTTTTGGTTTATAACTGTAATAAATATGAAAAAAAGAACACATATCAGTCTCTAATCTTTCGATCTGCGGCACATCTATGGAATATTGAGACTATTTCAGGATTTTATCGTCGCAAATAAACGCTGGAGTTGTGCATGTTAGTTTGAAAGTGGTTCGTTGTGGGTAATAATTAAAGATGTTCTGATAGAACAAACTTCATAAAAATTGGTAAGTATTAAGATAGGTAGGAAATACACACGTTCACATAAATTTTATTGGTGTCCATAAACAATATCAAAATTTGAACTACATATAACTTGAAATTATTGCGCTAATAAAAAAATCGAATACCAGATATTAGTTGTTTATTTTATCTAAATTATGTCGAAATTTCATGGAATTCCAAGGTATCGCAGGCAGTCCGTAGTCGTTTATATAAGCGGAATTCCAACGCGGCGTAACGGTACATAGCAGACGTGATGCGTACATATTTTTGGCGCGAAAAAGTGGATTTTTAACATTCCTAATTAATGACAGCATTGTTTTGCTTACAGCTAAACTCAGAATAGTTGAATAGATATAGAAATCTTGTATATTTGTTTTTCTAGGATGTTCTCGATATATTAAACCTTTATAAAAAGTTTTCCAGTTTCCCCGATTTTCCCAATCTTCTGTGTGTTTATGTTTTGTGTATGATTTTTTTGCGGGAAAATTAAAATATACTTATATATTCAAGTCTTCAGAAATGTAGATTATATTTATTGTTGAATAAATTGAATGGATTTCCAAACTTTTGTGAATTTATTGTATTGCATTGACAAAAATATTTGTCCGGCCCGTTTCAACACAGTTTGAGTCATACCCGGCCCGCGGTCAAAAAAGTTTGGTGATTGGTGACCCCTGAACTAGATGAACCGGCTCATACGCCAGTAAGTTGTTTGTGATTTTAATAATTAGTGATTTGATAACATTCCATTAATTTGGAAACACTCCCTTCTCTGTAATGAAAAGCTGGGAAACATACTTGCTGAAAGCACTTCCATAGGCCTTTTCCGAAGACCTAGTTGGACGTTTTCACAGAAATATCTACAATCGTATCAGATTTTGACCTTGCTCCTGATTAGTAACGGTCGACAATTACATCGCTCATCTCTTGCTTGCATACCAAAAAAGAGGAACTTTTGAAGTATGCGCACAACCTGAACTCAGGTTGTGTACCAGGTTATGGTTCAGGTTGTGCGATATCTTGGTGCGCATACTTCAAGAGTGCCCGAAAAGATGGTAATTCAATTCTATCATTAAGTATTAGGCAATCCATCAATTAAGTATCAACCCCAGATATTTATCCTCTAATGTGTTTGCTGTCATTTTAATTAATATCGAATACCAAGGCAAATCATTCCGAATAATTTAATAAATAAACAAGAGGGTAATCTTCAAATAACGAAAGTAGCAACTTTTTTTTTCTCAATTCCGATAGTCTGACTACCAGATCGCTGACACGCGACCGCGAAACCGTCACACAGTGCACAATGTTGATGACGTTATTACACAAAACTCAAAAGTAAAAACGAATCTCATAGACCCAACAAAATTTTTTAAATAAATAAAAGTAATAGTTTTCTAGTCTCTTTTTTAGGTCTGAACGTCATAGTAGTATCAAATCTGCATGCTGGTAAGCAAGTTTAAGAGTTCCTTGATGCTCTAATTGTCTTTTCTACAAACAAATTTTGTATGTAAGATGTTGATAGAAAACGTTAGTTTACCTCCAGTCATCAAAACAGTTTAAGAGCCAAAAATGCAATAAAATCACATCTTTATTTTTTTTTTGTCTTTTTCAAATCCTCTTTTTCTCGAATATCAGATATCACACTAAAGTACTTGATAAAGTTTCTCTAATAGTTACCAGAAGACGGTAAATGTAATCACAGGAATGGGCACAATATGAGGACATATGAGAAATAGACGACTGTGATCAGCAAAATTTATATACCATCAGTAGTCGACCACTCTTTCCAGATAGAAACCTTGGCACTACTTTATTAAAGTGCTTCCCAACCAATGGGTTGCAAAAAGGTAATCGTTATAGGAAGAAGTATTCATGGATCAAAAAAGTTTTATGCCTCAGAAAAATATCAAAATGGCTCTCGAAAATTGCTTATACATATTCAGAAAAATTTATCAAAAGACGTAATCTGTGGAATAATTTTTTTTCAGAGCTGACAAAGTTTAATAAGTGAGTAATAGAAATTTGAGAATGCATTTTTACCAGTGCACAATGTGAGCCGGGAATGTATGGCTGGAATATAAAGTTGGAACTGTACTTATGGCTTGATTGTTGAAATACAGACTTATGAAAAATATACATTTGACATTGTCATTTCGGGCATGAAGAGATGTTATGTTTAACTTTGTTCAGAATAGGGAATTTATCAAATAAAACCATTGTTCAAACGTTAGTTAGTAGTTAATTAGTTACAACTTTAAATAAACAGTAAAACATGCAGAACCGATGATAAGCATGGAAATTCTTTTCTCTAATACTTTTTGCCTCTGTCGTTTACTTTTTGCTATTTCGCAAATATATGCGTTGGCATCCAAACAATACTCATCATTGATTAACCACTTTAATAGTTTATGCAGCATTCCACACCTTTCACTTGCATTATTTGGTTCACTAGGAGCCCAAGCAGTGTTATCATTTGTCGACGTAATACCGTCGATCCATTCCCATTTGTTGATTACTTCCAGGTCATCCAATCCTATCCACACTCCATAAACAGATTCAAGTTTATTTGCGTGAAAAGCGGGAAGTATCATTTCATCCATAATGCTTCTAAATTGATAAGATGGTAATTATCCCTTTGAAGGTACAATGTACTTTTTTCAAGATAAATTCAAGCTTCTATGAATTATCGATCCGAAACTCATTGAAAGTATTTCATATAGAATGCTTATCGTAATTCATTATTTCAAATTAGCATAAAACAATATACATTAAACTACAAAGTAGCATGTAGTGTAGACTTGAAAAATGAAATTTATAACGGCCCAGCTACCGTTAAAATGTCGTCAATTTTTACAGGACATTCTACTTTCTTTATTGTTCCTAAACAACTCATTGCAATGAAGCAAAATGGGATAATAGACTTTGTGATAACGATAAACTGATAGAACTGCTTACTACAATAACTTTACAGACTGATTTGCTTTTGATAACTTTAATTTTTCATTTCCACGATTCTCGACTTGCAGCAGTACACAAAAGTTGTTATTCAAAGCGCGTGATAGCCATACATAATAATTTTTTTAAATATTTTACATTTCGATACATTTTCTATCAATTTGATAAACAATAATTTGATGGTTGTTATTGATCTTGTCTTGAAAATGTGTCTACTGAAGTTTAGCCTCCTTTAACTAATTTGTCAGACTTGATGCAGAACAAAAAACGGAAATAAACATTCGTATAACAATTGGTAAAATTGTTTATTCCTATCTTATTCGTTTGCGATATGATGATAAACAAATGAATGAAATTATAAGCGTTGGTTGAAATTAGTTTCATTACATGATCTCACTTGCGGGTGAATTCATTTCTCATTCCCTCAGTTACCAATCTTGCATTTACATTCCTGCAACCTTTTATTGCTGCTTCATAAGTAACATTACTCAGAAACAACTTGTACGATCCATTTGAAAACTTATGCCAATCATCCCTCCCGGTGTCTGAAAAAAAAAATAATTTTAGGTAATATAAATATCGAAATAATTGTTATTAGTAATTGTATCAATATTATCGAATATGCAACATATCGTCACGCCAATAACCAAATTGCGTAAGTCAATTTTGGCGATTTTGAGTTTTTCATAAAATAGGTATTCATGTGATGCAGCGCACCTGTCTGTTAGCTCAGATTTTATTTCGAGAATTCCGGGACTCATTAAAATGAAGATTTAGTATGACATGCACATTTGTGCCATTGCTTCGTCATAATGAATTATCATTGTTACCGCACGACTATTATGATGTCACAAATACAAAAAAACCTCGTCGAAGTATTTTCGAGTTTTTGCATCTCGGATTATAGCTTAGCGCGAATTAATTGGAATTCATACTACAGTATAGGAAGGCGTGCACTTGTGATATTCACTGTCCGAGTCCAATTCATCTTGGTTGGCTTTTATATTGGGTGCATTGCTGTTTTATTCTTTATATTTAATCTTAGTCCAATTCCGGTGGGTGTGCAGAACGTGTTATATTGATGAAATATATATTTTTAAACATAAAAAATAATGTAATTGAAACTAATTAGCTATTTTGGGATTGAGCAATGTAGATATTGAGAATTACATTTTTTTTTAATTTTTAGTTTTCAGGACTGGTGCATATAGTAAAGTTGCAAAATTGCATATGTCCCCAAGTCATAGACACATTTCTGCTTAAGTCACTGTGCGCCATTATGACGTCACTTATCTGCGTCGTACAAATTAACTTAAATCCGGCTACGATCATAAAATTGAACTATGACAAATTATTGACTCTCAATGGCATAACAATATCATTAGGAAGTTTTTTACGTTTTTCTCAAAACTGCTAAAAATGACTTACGCACTTCGGTTATTAGCGTGACGATATATAAAATGATCCCAACAGTAATATCTGTTTAATATGAATTAATATTAAATGAAATTGGTTAGTCTTCTTAAAATCAGTTTTATTTCGCCTGTGCAAATCAGTAAAATTAAGGCTGTTTTTCAGATACTAAAATTAGTTAATCATGTAAAAACAATAATCATCATTGTTTGAATATATTATGATATCTTATTTAATATATATAATAATTTATTTTATAATAAAATTTGCAGAATTTTTAAAAATTAGTGCATTGACAGCATAAGTGTGATTTTCTCTTCAATCAAATGATGCTATATTTTAGATTTTTGTTTATGTATGTGTCTTATGACTTCCAAATTAAATCCTGATTCAAAAAAATTCAATCAAAAGGTCACCAAATCTTAGGCACATTGAGGATATTACTTTTGATGTTATACAAAGAGTTAAAAACATAACGGCCACTGGACAGAATATGCAAGTTTGTCAATTGCGATGTAAAAGAATGAATGGTAAGCAAACCGACCTGTGAACGTATGGAATTTATAAAAATATATAGCTACAGATAAACGTCTTATACTTTACTTTCTGTAGATTTTTCCAATGTTATATTTTTGTAGTTGGTTGTAACTGCTGAGACTAGGCTTGTAACAATCATAATTACAACAAGGCCGATTATTATTATTATCACTGCTAAAACTATAGCCAATACCGTTTTCTTATTCATGTTAGCGAATGCTGAATAATACAAATTGATTTTTTTTTTAATTCTACAAAGCTTAGTCAACTACATTTGAGCGATAACACTCTGGAACAAAAAGCCAAAAATAGGACACAAGTTTCCAACGATACTCGAATTCAAACTATTTTACAAGATTATATTTGCATGATTTCATACGAACATCAGATTTCTTCTATCTGAGAAATACTCCTCAATAAAATAATCATCGAATATTAAATGACATCGTAATAGCACATTATTGATATTTTTTATTCTTTTTATATTGACAGCGATATTCTCACTTCGGATTAAAAACATTTAAACTAAGTAAAAGTAAGAAATATTTTAAGAACCCATTTTGGAAGTCCACTCAAGCTGCGCATCTTCAGTACTACAATTCATAAATCGCTCTAAAGGCTCCCAATCTTCTATCTTTAGAATAGCTAGCTATTCGTGTTGTAACTGGTAACCTCTACCGTCAAGACATATCATAAAGTGAAACATAAGTCAGATATTGAGTTGTAATAACAATAATGGCTCAAATATCCTTTTAATTTGTAGTTCAGTAAATATTTCTAAATTGAATTTGAAATGAAACTTTATGAAGTTCAAAGCGAAAGCAATTCTGGTATTGTAATATGCGCTTCGAGTTGTTTAATGTTGTACAACAGAAAAATATATATATGTCCAATAAAAATGTATGAATGAAAACAGTTTTCTTTGCATCTAAGATTGCCTGGATCGTAGGTGCCGGGCCACCTAGCCATCGCGCTGCAATGTAATTGATACAGAAATATAGACACAACATTCATTTTAATATATTTGATCATTTTATTATTTATTATTTTGGTCTGTGATTCCCATTTTGATATATTATTAGATGCAATTGCCTCTATAACTAGATGAACCGGCTCATACGCCAGTAAGTTGTTTTTATTTTAATAATTAGTGATTTGATAACATTCCATTAATTTGGAAACACTCCCCTTCCTGTAATGAAAAGCTGGGAAAGGACTTCCATAGGCCGTTTCCGAATACCTGGTTGGACGTTTTCACAGCACAGTTGAAGAGGTGGTGCTATATCGACAATCGTATCAGATTTTGACCCTGCTCCTGATTAGCAACGTTCGACAATTACATCGCTCATCTCTTGCATGCATACCCAAAAAGAGGACCTCCTGAAGTGTGCGCACAACCTGAATTCAGATTGTGTACCAGGTTATGGTTCAGGTTGTGCGACATCTTGGTGCGTATACTTCAAGAGTACCCAAAAAGATGGTAATTCAATTCTATTATAATGTATTAGGCAATTCATCAATTATTTTTCAACCCCTGATATTTATCCTCTAGTGCAGTGGTTCTTAAACTTTTTGAGCCGCGCCCCCCTTTGAAAAATTTTACAAACTTCGCGCCCCCCCTCTTTTTGCCTAAAAAAATGCTTTTGTGATAGGCAGGTTTCTATATATTAAGGTGGCGCTATAAGAGTGTTGGTATCATACCGTCATTGCTCAGATTGTTTAGGCATAAAACCCTCCGGATTGAAACTTTGCCATTCAATGCCATATGTATAAAACCAAATATTGGTTGGCCACATACATTCTCGGTTTTCCGCTCAGTTTGCAATACCTGGTAAAGTCAGACTAATTTTTAAGTAAAACTAAACACGCAATAAACCTATGCTTTAATGTATTTTCTGCTTAAACGTAAAATTTCAATCAATTGTTTACTTCATCACTATTGAGCGATGTCAAAATTATTCACTGTGTGTTAAAAATAAGCAACAATTCTTGGCTTGCCTAACGTTTCAAATGAAACGGAGAAGTACAAATGAATTTATGTAAATTTAAAAGCAGTTCATTTTTTAATAGTTATTATGCATGTGGACGATTCCCCGGCCCTTGACCACTAAAAAATAAAGTAGCTAAGGCTTTTGTGATTGCATTTTGTTTGAATCTCGATAATTTTCGTAAGCGTGGCGTGCTATTTAAGCCGTAAAAATATCAATTTCGGTGTTTATTCTCCCTAAATCAGAATTTCCTTCGGCATATAAATTAGATGGATAATCATTTTTTTTTGACACGAGTCGCCGCAACAGCGAGTTACCTTGAACACAACTGAATTAAAATAGAAAGACATTTTGAATTCTTGTAGTTATTACGAGACAGAACAATTCAATATATTGCGAAAAAGCCGGTATTTTTAACGAACGCGGAGACAGGAGCCGTTACATGTAAATTCCCGATTCCATCTTGTGACCTCGCACAAGTGTGTTTGCTGTCACTTTCTTAATATCGAATACCATGGCAAATCAATTTGAATAATTAATAATAAACAAGGAGAGCAATCTTGAAATAACGAAAAATTCAAACGAAAGTAGCAACAACTTTTTTTCCATTCCGGTAGTCTGACTATCAGATCGCTGACACGGGACGCGAAACCGTCACACATGTGCCGCAATGTTGATGACGTCATTACACAAAACTTCAAAAGTGAAAAACGAATCCCATAGACCCCACAAATTTTTTCAAATAAATAGAAGTAATAGTTTTCTAGTCTCTTTTTTAGGTCTGAACGTCATAGTAATATCAAATCTGCATGCTGGTAAGCAAGTTTAAGAGATCTTTGATTTGTTAGTTTACCTTCAGTCAACAAAACAGTTTAAAAGCCAAAAATGCAATAAAATCACATCTTTATTTTTTCTTTGTCTTTTTCGAAATCCTTTTTTTTGTCGAATATCAGACATCACAATATAGTACTTAATAAAGTTCCTCTAATAGTTACCAGAAGACGGTAAATGTAATCACAGGAATATGCACAATATGATGACATATGAAGAGTAGACGACTGTTCTTAGCAAAATTTATATATCATCAGTAGTCGACCACTGTTTCCAGATAGAAATCTTTCAGATTTCAATTATTCAAGCATAACTGGCACTACTTTATTAAAGTGCTTCCCAACCGGTGGGTTGCAAAAAGGTAATCGTTATAGGAAGAGGTATTCATGGATCAAAATAGTTCTATGCCTCAGAAAAATTTCAAAATTGCTCTTAAAAAATGCTGATACATATTCAGAAAAATTTATCAAAAGAGGTAATCTGTGGAATAATTTTTTTTTTTCAGAGCTGACAAAGTTTAATTGTTATGAACAGCCAGCCCACCGACCTCTAACGGAATGAGATTTGATTCATGTCTAAAGTTAGTGCACAAATATAAGAACATACAGATATTTCAAATTCTTTTCTAAGGACAAATTACCCTGCCATTTTTCTTGTCGGATTTCACTTTCTGAAAAAAAAAACCGGTCTATTAGGTATGGTAAGACACAGCTAAGTGAGTAATATAAATTTGAAGATGCATTTTTACCAGTGCACAATTTGAGGCAGGTAATGTATGGCTGGAATATAAAGTTGGAACTATACTTATGACTTAATTGTTGAAATACAGACTTATGAAAAATATACATTTGACATTGTCATTTCGGACATGAAGTGATGTTTAACTTTGTTCAGAAGAGGGAATGTATCAAATAAAACCATTGTTTAAACGTTAGTTAGTATAGGTAATTAGTTGCAACTTTAAAGGTAATTAGTTGCAACAGTAAAACATGCAGAACCGATGATAAGCAAGGAAATTCTATTCTCTGATACTTTTTTGCGTCTGTCATTTACTTTTTGCTATTTCGCAAATATATGCATTGGTAGCCAAACAATCCTGATCAATGACTAACCACATCAATAGTTTATGCAGCATTCCACATCTTTCGAGATAATTACTTGGTTCACCAGGAGCCCAAGCAGTGTTATCATTTGTCGATGCAATACCATCAATCCATTTCCATGTGTTGATTGGTTCTTGCTGGTCATCCAATCCTATCCACACTCTATAAACAGCTCCAAGTTTATTTGCTTTGAAAACTGGAAGTATCATTTCATCCACAATGCTTCTAAATTGATATGATTTTAACTATCTCTTTGAAGGCACAATATACCTTTTTCAAGGGAAATTCAAGTTCCAGTGAATAATCGATCCGGAACTTATTGAAAGTATTTCATATAGGATGCTTATCGTAATTCATTTTTTCAAATTGGCATAAAACAATATAAATTATACTACAAAGTAGCATGTAGTGTAGACTTGAAAAATGAAATTTTTAACGACCAAGCTCCCGTTAAAATGTCTTCAATTTTTACAGGACATTCTACTTTCTTTAACATTCTTAAACAACTCATTGCAATGAAGCAAAATGGGATAATAGACTTTGTGATAACAATAAACTGATAGAACTGCTTACTACAATACCTTTACAGACTGATTTGCTTTTGAAAACTTTCATTTTTCACTTTCACGATTCTCGACTTGCAGCAGTACACAAAAGTTGTTATTCAAAGCGCATGATAACCATACATACTAATTCTTTTAAATATTTTACATTTCGATACATTTTCTATCAATTTGATAAACAATAACTTAATGGTTATTATTGAGCTTGTCTTGAAAATGTGTCTACTGAAGTTTAGCCTCCTTCAAATAATTTGTCAGACTTGATGCAGAACAAAAAAAAAATGGAAAAAAACGTTCGTAAAACAATTGGTAAAATTGTTTATACCTATCTTATTCGTTTGCGATATGATGATAAACAAATGAATGAAATTATAAGCGTTGGTTGAAATTAGTTTCATTACATGAACTCACTTGCGGGTGACTTCATTTCTTATTCCCTCAGTTACCAATCTTGCATTTACATTCCTGCAACCTTTTTTTGCTGCTTCATAAGTAACATGACTCAGAAACAACTTGTACGATCCATTTGAAAACTTATGCCAATCATCCCCCCTGGTGTCTGAAAAAAAATACATTTTTAGGTAATATAAATATCGAAAAAATTGTTATTAGTAATTGTATCAATATTATGGAATATGCAACATATCGTAACGCTAATAACCAAATTGCGTAAGTCAATTTTGGTGATTTTGAGTTTTTCATAAAATAGGTATTCAAGTGATGCTGCGCACCTGTCTGTTAACTCAGATTTTATTTTGAGAATTCCGGTACTCATTAAAATGGAGATTTAGTATGACATGCACATTTGTGCAATTGTTTCGTCATAATGAATTATCATTGTTACCACACGACTATTATGACGTCACAAATACAAAATACCCTCGTCGAATTATTTTCGAGTTTTTTCATTTCGGATTATAGCTTAGCCGCGTATTAATTGGAATTTATACTACAGTATAGGAAGGCGTGCACTTGTGATATTCACTGTCCGAGTCCAATTCATTTTGATTGGCTTTTATATTGGGTGCATTGCTGTTTTATTCTTTATATTTAATCTTAGTCTTATTCCGGTGGGTGTGCAGAACGTGTTATATTGATGAAATATATATTTTTAAACATAAAATATAATGTAATTGAAACTAATTAGCTATTTTGGGGATTGAGCATTGCAGATATTGAGAATTACATTTTTTTTTAAATTTTTAGTTTTCAGGACTGGTGCATATAGTAAAGTTGCAAAATTGCGTATGTCCCCAAGTCATAGACAAATTTGTGCTTAAGTCACAGTGCGCCATTATGACGTCACTTTACTGCGTCATACAAATTAACTTAAATCCGGCTATGATCATAAGATTGAATTATGACAAATTATTGACTCTCAATGGCATAACAATATCATTAGGAAGTTTTTTACGTTTTTCTCAAAACTGCTAAAAATGACTTACGCAATTCGGTTATTAGCGTGACGATATATAGAATGATTCCAACAGTAATAAACTGTTTAATATCAATTAATATCAAATGAAATTGGTTAGTCTCCTCAAAATCAGTTTTATTTCGCCTGTTCAAATCAGTAAAATTAATTAAAGTTGTTCTTCAAATACTAAAATTGGTTAATCATGTAAAAACAATAATCATCATTTTTTTGAATTTATTATGATATCTTATTTAATATATATATATACTAATTTATTTTATAATAAAATTTGCAGAATTTTTAAAAATAAGTGCATTGACAGCATAAGCGTGATTTTCTCTTCGGTCAACCGATGCTTCATTTTAGATTTTTGTTTATGTATGTATCTTATGACTTCCAAATTAAATCCTGATTAACAAAAATTCAATCATGAGGTCATCAATTCTTAGGCACATTGAGGATATTACTTTTGATGTTATACAAAGAGTTAAAAACATAACGGCCACTGGAGAGAAAATGCAAATTTGTCAATTGCGATATAAAAAAATGAATGGTAAGCAAACCGACCTGTAAACGTATGGAATTTATAAAAATATATAGCTACAGATAAACGTCTTATACTTTACTTTCTGTAGTTGGTTCCAATGTTATATTTTCGTAGTTGGTTGTAACTGCTGAGACTAGGCTTGTAACAATCATAATTACAACAAGGCCGATTATTATTATTATCACTGCTAAAACTATACCCAATACCGTTTTCTTATTCATGTTAGCGAATGCTGAATAACACAAATTGATTTTTTTTTTAAATTATACGAAGCTTAGTCAACTACATTTGAGCGATAACACCCAGGAACAAAAAGTCAAGAATATGACATAAGTTTCTAACGATACTCGAATTCAAACTATGTTACAAGATTATATTTGCATGATTTCATACGAACATCAGATTTCTTCTATCTGAGAAATATTCTTCAATAAAATAATCATCGAATATCAAATGACATCGTAATAGCACATTAATAATATTTTTCTTCTTTGTATATTGACAGCGATATTCTCACTTCGGGTTAAAAACATTTAAACTAATTAAAGTAAGAAATATCTTAAGAACCCATTCTGGAAGTCCACTCAAGCTGCGCATCTTCAGTACTTTAATTCATAAATACCATTGAGCATAAATCGCTCCAAAGGCTCCCAATCTTCTATCTTTAGAATAGCTATTCCTGCTATAACTGGTAACTTCCACCGTCAAGACATATCATAAAGTGAAACACAAGTCAGATATTGCGTTGAAATAACAATAATGGCTCAAATATCCTGTTCATTCGTGGTTCAGTAAACATTTCTGAATTGAATTTGAAATGAAACTTTATGAAGTTCAAAGCGAAAGTGATTCTGGTATTGTGATATGCGATTCGAGTTGTTTAATGTTGTACAACAGAAAAATATATGTCTAATAAAAATGTATGAATGAAAACAGTTTTCTTTGCATCTAAGATTGCCTGGATCGTAGGTGCCGGTCCACCTAGCCATCGCGCTGCAATGTAATTGATACAGAAATATAGACACAACATTCATTTAAATAGATTTGATCATTTTAATATTTATCATTTTGGTCTGTTATTCCCATTTGATATATTATTAGACGCAATTGCCTCTATAACTAGATGAACCGGCTCATACGCCAGTAAGTTGTTTGTGATTTTAATAATTAGTGATTTAATAACATTTCATTAATTTGGAAACACTCCCCTTCCTGTAATGAAAAGCTGGGAAACATACTTGCTAAAAGCACTTCTATAGGCCGTTTCCGAGGACCTGGTTGGTCCTTTTGCACAGTACAGTTGAAGAGGTGCTTTATTGACAATCGTATCAGATTTTGACCTTGCATTGCTCATCTCTTGCATGCATACCCAAAAAGAGGACCTCCTGAAGTATGCGCACAACCTTAACTCAGGTTGTGTACCAGGTTATGGTTCAGGTTGTGCGACATCTTGGTGCGCATACTTCAAGAGTGCCCAAAAAGACGGTAATTCAATTCTATTATTATGTATTAGGCAATTCATCAATTAAGTATCAACCCCAGATATTTATCCTCTAATGTGTTTGCTGTCACTTTAATTAATATCATATACCAAGGCAAATCATTCCGAATAATTTAATATATAAACGAGAGAGCAATCTTCAAATAACGAAATCAAGACGAAGTAGCAACATTTTTTTTTCTCCATTCCGATAGTCTGACTATCAGATCGCTGCCACGCGACCGCGAAACCGTCACACAGTGCACAATGTTGATGACGTCATTACACAAAACTCAAATGTAAAAACGAATCCCATAGACCCCACAAAACTTTTTAAATAAATAAAGGTAATAGTTTTCTAGTCTCTTTTTTAGGTCTGAACGTCATAGTAATATACAATCTGCATGCTGGTAAGCAAGTTTAAGAGTTCTTTGATGCTCTAATTGTCTTTTCTACAAACAAATTTTGTATGTAAGAAGTTGATAGAAAACGTTAGTTTACCTTCAGTCAACAAAACAGTTTAAAAGCCAAAAATGCAATAAAATCACATCTTTATTTTTTCTTTGTTTTTTTAAAATCCTCTTTTTCTCGAATATCAGACATCACACTAAAGTACTTGATAAAGTTTCTCTAATAGTTACCAGAAGACGGTAAATGTAACCACAGGAATGTGCACAATATGAGGACATATGAGGAATAGACGACTGTTCTTAGCGAAATTTATATACCATCAGTAGTCGACCACTCTTTCCAGATAGAAACCCTGGTACTACTTTATTAAAGTGCTTCCCAACCAATGGGTTGCGAAAAGGTTATCGTTATAGGAAGAAGTATTCATGGATCAAAATAGTTTTATGCCTCAGAAAAATATCAAAATTGCTCTCGAAAAATGCTTATACATATTCAGAAAAATTTATCAAAAGAGATAATCTGTGGATTAATTTTTTTATAGATGACAAAGTTTAATAAGTGAGTAATATAAATTTGAGGATGCATTTTTACCAGTGCACAATGTGAGGCAGGCAATGTATGACTGGAATATAAAGTTGGAACTATACTTATGACTTGATTGTTGAAATACAGACTTATGAAAAATATACATTTGACATTGTCATTTCGGGCATGAAGAGATGTTATGTTTAATTCTGTTTAGAAGAGGGAATGTATCAAATAAAACCATTGTTCAAACGTTAGTTAGTAGTTGATTACTTACAATTTTGAATAAACAGTAAAACATGCTGAACCGATGATAAGCATGGAAATTTTATTCTCTGATATTTTTTTGCGTCTGTCATTTACTTTTTGCTATTTCGCAAACATATGCATTGGCAACCAAACAATACTCATCATTGATCAACCACTTTAATAGTTTATGCAGCATTCCACATCTTTCACTTGCATTATTTGGTTCACTGGGAGCCCAAGCAGTGTTATCATTTGTCGACGCAATACCGTCGATCCATTTCCATTTGTTGATTACTTCCAGGTCATCCAATCCTATCCACACTCCATAACCTTCTCCAAGTTTATTTGCATTAAAAGCGGGAAGTATCATTTCATCCATAATGCTTCTGAATTGATAAGATCTTAATTATCCCTTTGAAGGTACTATGAACTTTTTTCAAGGTAAATTCAAGCTTCTATGAATTATCGACCCGAAACTCATTGAAATTATTTCATATAGAATGCTTATCGCAATTCATTATTTCAAATTAGCATAAAACAATATACATTAAACTACAAAGTAGCATGTAGTGTAGACTTGAAAAATGAAATTTATAACGGCCCAGCTACCGTTAAAATGTCGTCAATTTTTACATGACATTCTACTTTCTTTATCATTCTTTAGGATAATAGACTTTGTGATAATGACAAACTGATAACACTGCTTACTACAAAGGACATGTTCTTACAGACTGATCTGTTTTTGACGATTTTTTTTTCTTTGTCACGATTCTCGCATTCCCCAAAAGTTGTTATTCAAAGCACATGATAGCTACATAATATTTTATTTAAATATTTTACAATTCGATACATTTTCTATCAATTTGATAAACAGTAATTTGATGGTAATTTTTATGCTTGGCTTAAAAATGTGTCTACTCAAGTTTAGCCTCCTTCAACTAATTTGTCAGATTTGATGCAGAAAAAAAAACAAAAAAACGGAAATAAACGTTCGTAAAACAATTGGTGAAATTGTGTATTCCAATCTAATTCGTTTGCAATATGATGATAAACAAATGAATGAAATTATAAGGGTTGGTTGAAATAAGTTTCATTACATGAACTCACTTGCGGGTGACTTTATTTCTTATTCCCTCAGTTACCAATCTTGCATTTGCATTTCTGCAACTATTTTTTGCTGCTTCATAATTAACCTCAGTTGGAAACAACTTGTACGATCCAGTTGAAAAGTGATGCCAATCATCCCTTCCAGGGCCTGAAAAAACAAATACATTTTTAGGTAATATAAATATCGAAAGAATTGTTATCAATAATTGTGTCAATATTATCAAATATATCAATTGTGCAACATATATAAAATGATTCCAACAGTAATATCTGTTTAACAATTAATATCAAATGGAATTGATTAGTCTTTTCAAAATCAGCTTCATTTCGCCTGTGCATATCAGTAAAACTAAGGTTATTTTTCAGATTCTAAAATTGAAGGATCATGTAAAAACAATAATCATCATTGTTTGAATATATTATGATATCTTATTTATTATATACTAATTTATTTTATAATAAAATTAGCAGAATTTTCAAAAGTATGTGCATTGACAGCATAAGCGTGATTTTCTCTTCGGTCAACTGATGCTATATTTTAGATTTTTGTTTATGTATGTATCTTAGAGAAGGAATTATAGCTACAGATAAACGTCTTATACTTTACTTTCTGTAATTGGTTGCAATTGTAACTTTTTGTAGTTGGTTGTAACTGTTGAGACTAGGCTTGTAACAATCATAATTACACCAACGACGATTAATATTATTATCACTGCAAAAACTATAGCCAATACCGTTTTCTTATTCATGTCTGCTAATGCTGAATAATACAAATTGATTTTTTTTCAAATTCTACGAAGCTTAGTCAACTACATTTGAGCGATAACACTCAGGGACAGAAAGACAAGACTATGACATAAGTTTCCAACGATATTCAAATTCAAACTATTTTACAAAATTATATTTGCATGATTCCATGCGAACATCAGATTTCTTCTATCTGTGAAATACTCTTCAATAAAATAATCATCGAATATTAAATGACATCGTAATAGCACATTAATAATATTTTTTATTCTTTCTATATTGACAGCGATATTCTCACTTCGGGATAGAAACATTTAAACTAAGTAAAAGTAAGAAATATCTTAAGAACCCATTCTGGAAGTTCAATCAAGCTGCGCATCCTCAGTACTATAATTCATAAATTCCATAGAGCATAAATCGCTCTAAAGGCTCCCAACCTTCTATCTTTAGAATAACTATTCGTGCTATACTGGTAACTTCCGCCGTCAAGACATATCATAAAGTGAAACATAAGTCAGATATTGAGTTGTAATAAAAACAATGCCTCAAATATTCGGTTTATTTATTCCCCGCTGTCTCGACTCGAATGAAATATTCGGTTAAATCGTGGTTTAGTAAACATTTCTAAATTGAATTTGAAATGAAACCTTATGAAGTTCAAAGCGAAAGCAATTCTGGTATTGTAATATGCGATTCTAGTTGTTTAATGTTGTACAACAGAAAGATATATGTCCAATAAAAATGTATGGATGAAAACAGTTTTCAATCCATACTATAAATCTTACTATGCATCGACTATCCGATTTTAAAATTGCTATCGATTAGCTCCGGTATATTGGTTAACATCAGAATGTTACCTGTCACGTTTTCTTTGCATCTACGATTGCCTAGATCGTAGTACCGGTCCGCCTAGCCATCGCGCTACAATGTATATAATTAATACAGAAAGACACAACGTTAATTTTATTAGATTTGATCATTTTATTATTTATTATTTTGGCCTGTGATTCCCATTTTGATATATTATTAGATGCAATTGCCTCTACAACTAGAGCAGGGATCACCACACTACGGCCCGCGGCGTAATTTGATCCGGCCCGCAATAACACGCAAAAAGGGCGAAATTCCTTTCCAATGGAAATTTTCCCGAGCATTGTCTTCCTTATTTATTTGATATTAAGGGCAAATCAGCAAGATGCAAAAAAAGTGACGTAATAATAGGCCTTTTTGCATCCGCTCAGACACTTTTGTCACCTTGACAGATTTTCAGTCTTGGTTGTGAGCAGTACTTCGTTTTTGCGATTTTGAAGGATATTCGTTAGTTTTTGGTTGTGTTTGAAATTTCAAGTATGAATCAAATAATTCAATCATCATTTGCCTTCTTAAGAGTTGTAGTTTTAATTGTAGCAATGAAAAATTAGTCTTGAAATAGCTCTGACAAAATATACTAAAATTATCTACCGGTGCGAAACGTTTTCCGCGAGAGATGCACACGTATACTTGTGGCGCGTGCTTTCGACGAAACTGTTCACGTTTCTTGTGCTGAAATGAACGTCGAATGTGCATGTTGCGCTAACAGTACTGTGATCCTTCGCGTACTGCTGCAATTTCACAAGTCACACTTACTTTTGTACAGCCTAAATGCGGATATTCGTGTAGGTATGTTACAAACAAATTTAAGTTCACCCGATTTAAATAAAAACTGCGCCAGAGGATAGATCTGAGTGAAAATAAGAAGAAAAATTTATAAAAAACGGTCCAGAAACAACGAAGATATTGAAATTTTAGTACCGCCCGACATGCCAATTTTTTCCATAAGGATTGTATTACTTTTTTGGTTTATAACTGTAATAAATATGAAAAAAGTGGTGACCGTACATTTGAACCCATGCGTATATTCACGGGTTCAATCTATATGCGGGTGCTAAAACCCATGGGTTAGGGTTAGTATGGGTTTAACTATCCGTGAAACAAAAAAAATTCCATAGGTGCAATAGCATACAGGTGCAATTGTCATGGGTTCAAATGTACGTGGGTTCAAATGTAATGGAACCGAAAAAAGAACACATATCAGTCTCTAATCTTTCGATCTGCGGCACATCTATGGAATATTGAGACTATTTCAGGATTTTATCGTCGCAAATAAACGCTGGAGTTGTGCATGTTAGTTTGACAGTGGTTCATTGTGGGTAATAATTAAAGATGTTCTGATAGAACAAACTTCATAAAAAATGGTAAGTATTAAGATAGGTAGGAAATACACACACATTCACATAAATTTTATTGGTGTCCATAAACAATATCAAAATTTGCACTACATATCACTGGAAATTAATCCGCTAATAAAAAAATCGAATACCAGATAATAGTTGTTTATTTTATCTAAATTATTTCAAAATTTCATGGAGTTCCAAGGTACCGCAGGCAGTCCGTAGTCGTTTATATAAGCGGAATTCCAACGCGGCGTAACGGTACATAGCAGACGTGATGCGTACATATTTTAGGCGCGAAAAAGTGCATTTTTAACATTCCTAATTAATGACAGCAACGTTTTGCTTACAGCTAAACTCAGGATAGTTGGATAGATTTAGAAATCTTGTATATTTGTTTTCCTAGGTTGTTCTCGATCTATTAAACCTTTATAAAGATTTTTCCAGTTTCCCAATCTTCTGTGTGTTCATTGTTTATGTTTTGTGTATGACTTTTTTGCGGGAAAATTAAAATATACTTATTATACTTATATATTCAAGTCTTCAGAAATGTAGATTATATTTATTGTTGGATAAATTGAATGGATTTTCAAACTTTTGTGAATTTATTGTATTGCATTGACAAAAATATTTGTCCGGCTCGTTTCAACACAGTTTGAGTCATACCCGGCCCGCGGTCAAAAAAGTTTGGTGATCCCTGAACTAGAGGAACCGGCTCATACGCCAGTAGGTTGTTTGTGATTTTAATAATTAGTGATTTGATAACATTCCATTATTTGGAAACACTCCCTTTCCTGTAATGAAAAGCTGGGAAACATACTTGCTGAAAGCACTTCCATAGGCCTTTTCCGAAGACCTGGTTGGACGTTTTCACAGCACAGTTGAGGAGGTGCTATATCGACAATCGTATCAGATTTTGACCTTGCTCCTGATTAGCAACGATCGACAATTACATCGCTCATCTCTTGCATGCATACCCAAACAGAGGACCTCCTGAAGTATGCGCACAACCTGAACTCAGGTTATACTTGGCAGCGCCTTCTGTCGCATAGCATAGCCACATATTTGGTTTGAGGGGGAAGGAAATTGAGACCCACAGTACGGATTGAAGATGTTCAATAGTTAGTTAAGTGTTAAAATTGAGAAAAGCTTTAAACGCAAGTATGCGCTTCCAAAAGGCACATAGTCCGCTTGAAGATTCTGTAAAGCCGGAGAACAATTTTCTCAAAAATTGCCCAAGCTTGTCGACTTTTCCACTCACCTCCCAGAATTTCGCTTTGAGTTTAGAGTTGCACTGTAAGTCAATGAGTTGCATTTTAAGCACAGAAGGGGCATATTGGGCTTTCCATAGCACTAGTTTTGTGGAGAATTCCCCCACATGCTCAGGGCCTTGTAACGGTACTCCCGTAGTATGTGCACCAAGATGGCAGACACCGGAACGTAGCATGTGTACCTGGTTAGGGTTAGGCCATAATTTCAGGTACAAATAGTATGAAAGTCATTCGGCTAGTCCCTAAACTCGTATTAGAACTAAAATAAGGTAAATTGACATAAAATTATGGCCTAACCCTAACCTGATACACATACTACGTCCAGTTTTCGCCATCTTGGTGGACATACTACGGATATTAACCTTGTATGTGATATCTACAAGAAAAGTAGAGTACATCCCCATATTCTGAGTCAATATCCTGCAAAAAAGCACGGAATCTTCGGTGTTTTAAGCCCCTGGATCTGATTTGTTGATGCATTTCACAACGACAGACATCCCATTGTCAAACTTCAGGCATTTGCTGCAAATGGACTGCTGATGGATAATGCAGTGGAGAGCAATGGCCTTCTCTACACCCTCCTCTCCCAGTTTTGCCACCGGTCCATTTTTTTCTGTAATTGATGGTGCTCCATTGGTTGTTATCCCAACAAACATCTGCCATGTCAAACCGGCATTATTATTGACCTCACACAACTGGCAAAACATCTGCTGAGCGGTGGACTGGCCATGCATTGGAACTACCCTGAACAACTCCCCCATCACTTCAAAATTGTCATTAACAACACGGACATAAATTGCAAGCTGGGTAGTGTCGGTGATGTCTATGGTCTCATCAAGAGCAACTGAGTATGCACTGAAACATTTGGCTTTCTTACACAGTTGATCATAAATGTCACTTGACAGGTCAGAAATACGCTCTGCCGTTGGCAGAAAGGATGACATTGCTAAACTGACTTTACTGGACAGAGTATACTTGCAGTCTGTAATAAGCACTTTTTTACAAATTCGCCTTCTGTGAATGGCTTTTCTGCTGTTGCAATATTTTCACCAATCGTGGGGTCTCGTGTAGTTTCGTACCTTTGATCATTTTATTATTTTGGTCTGTGATTCCCAAAATTTTTAAATAAATAAAAGTAATAGTTTTCTAATCTCTTTTTCAGGTCTGAACGTCATAGTTACATACTTTTAGTGGGCGAAGCCAAACAAATTTCTTACGTGTCAATCCTAACCCCCGGACAATTTTTTTACGTGTCAATTCTAACCCCCACCTGACTACGCCATCGAAAAATTACGTAACTACGACGTCACAATGATGTAATAGAGCCCTTCAAACTATACGAACTATAATCCAAGACGCGCAACTTGTTATCGCTGTTGCGCTGATGTTTCAACCAAGCATTTAGCCGATGAACGGCGATGTCTCATCATATGGAAAATATGGTTACAATGTATCAATCAATAAGCGTTAGTGATGTGACGTCAAAAATCATGAAACACTGTTAACTC